GACACAGACACAGACACAGACACAGACACAGACACAGACACAGACACAGACACAGACACAGACACAGACACAGACACAGACACAGACACAGACACGCGAGTCAGCGAACGCGACACACCTAGGTAATTAATTCGTGCCGTGATTAGCGACGCAGGTGGCAGTCCATACCGTGTACTCCGTACTCCGTACTCCATACTCGTGCCGCAGCTACCTAATACAGTACTCCGTACTTCGTCCGTAATTATTCACTTTACCCATTTTGGAGCCGAATTCCTCCCGAAAAGGGCAGTGAAGGGCAGGTGCTTGGACGGTTCCGGAGCTTGGGGCCCCCCGAATCGGGCACCCCTGCCCTGCCCTGCCCTGCCCTGCCGCGTGCACGCTCACCCAGGTTCCTACGTTGGTACCCAGTAACCTGGAAGCTCCCTCTGTTCTGTGCAGCCATGACAAAGCGCAATCGCATCATAGGTATCATACGTAGGTGCCTGCTGCACTCTGTACTCTATCTGTGTACTCTATCTGTGTACTCTATCTGTGTACTCTATCTGTGTACTCTATCTGCGTGCACCTGTGTCGACGGCTGGCTGTGAACCCCTCGCCCGAACTCGATGCCATCATCAATCACTAACAAAAGTCACCTTCAACAGCGTGCCGGCGTGGGATACACTCCGCAGCCCTTACTATTGCACAGCGCTCCGTACTGGTACTGTAGTTGGCGACCGGGCTCGCCGAGAGGTGCAAAGTTTGTTTGGGACCCAGAAGAGGAGAGGAGCAGCCACGGAGCTGCATGCGTGCATCCAGGACGTACATACAGTACGTCCCGACTACCGGGTTTTTGCGCCAATCACCATAAGTTATGCTCGTCTCGCTTACGCTGTACAAAGCACGCAAAGTCTTCATGTTTGACGTACATCTACATACTCCATCCACAGTAACTTGTCTGGTGCATCTCACGTGCTTCCTCGGAGCGGGAGGAGCTATGTGGAAAGAGAACAGAATGAGGAAAGGTGATCTGCCGGCTGTGCATTGACAGGGCTTTCTGGATGAAAAGTCAAAATCCCGACAATCGAGTTCGAGTTCGGTTACTGTTGCCATGCCGGTCCCGAGAACTACACCACTCTGCGGGTTTTCTTTCATTTTTGTCTGGGCATGTACTCCGTCTGGTGGTTCTGTCTGTCCCAATATGATCAATCACCCAGCCGATCCTGTTCCCTCATCCCATCCCGTTCATAGCGTCATGCATCCATCGTAAATGAAGCCACCGGCCGGAAAAAGTACCAAAACCACTCCCTGCGCGGTCCTATGGTAGTAAAGTGGTGTCACCCGAACGCCAGAGTATTATGTTGCTTTTTGTGCCGCGCGCAAAGGCTTGGAGTGCCAGTCTCCAAGTGCCTCCCAGCGTGGTTGCTCGCAAGGGGTGGTGTGGGTGGTCCAGCCGCCGAAAAGCCCTCCGCACACAGCGGGCTACAGGATGACGCACGGTGGTGCCCCCCAAGCTAGCTCAGAGGTCACTACCATCACGAAATCTGGAGCCACTGCCCAACAATGACGGGAAAAGGAAGGAAGCGATAATTATCTTGTACACAGCTTCACATCTGAAGATGAGGCAAGCACGACTCTTCGACGAAGGTCCGAAAGCCTGGCGGCGAGCTGGCGCGCTGGTTGCGTGCCCCCGCTTCACCTCTGCATTCGGATCCATCCAAGCATGCGCTCCAGAGTTGGGTCCTCATCGATCCAGTAGCCCTTTCGCCGGTCTGCGTTGCGAAGGTCCCTGACGACGTGGTCATCGGTGACTTCGTCGAGTTCCTGTGAGGTCCTCCGGTTAGCTGTCAGGCCTTGGCCATTTCCTGGGCGACGCCGATCACTTCCTCTCCCAGCGCCTTCCACCACGTGGTTTTCGTACCCATCAATTGCGGGGGATGCGACGATCGCGATCGACATGCTTAAAACGTACCTGACGAAGTCTTTGATCGACAGCGCGTAGAGCGTTGACGTGCTTTGCGGCGGGCTTCTCGCCCCTCAATACTTGCGCACGCATTTGCACCCAGCGCATCGCCGCGGATGCCCGGAGGTAGATTTTGTGCGCCTGGAACCTTCTCGTCGACGCGTCCAGGATGATTCTACGCAACGTGTTAGTCCTCGCGGCCAACCCCGACAGCGAGCTGCCATCGCACCTTTGTAATGTCGCTTTCTGGACCTCTGTTTCGGGGACGTTGCCGGCCTGGATTCCAAGGCTGCCGGGGTTGAAGTGACCGGCGAGCACAGCTTGCGACTCGGCCGCACACTGTCTCAAGACCACGTAGCCGTCGAGGTAGTATGATTGCTGGTCTGGCGGGTTTGCCTCGCTTCGTGTGATCAGCGACGTGATGTGTATCTGCAGCGTGCGGAAATCGTTCATGAGTTCCATCACGCGCATGGCGCGGGCTTCGTTCACTGCAACACCACTGGTCAGCCAGGCCATCCCCTTCCGACTCATTGCCCCGTGGGTTTGAGGAATCACGGTGGGACACACGTCCGTCAGCCATTGCGAGAGGCGAGTTGGCCAAATCAGATGAAGTCGGGTGGTTGAGAAGCAGTGACTCGACCGACGGCGCAGATCTAATGGGTCTTTCCTTCGCGTGGAAGGGATGTTTCGCAACCGTGTCGAGTTCCTTCACAGAAGGGTGGTCGAGGTCTCTGATCGGTCGCTCGACTTGTCCGATGTTGGAGGCTTGGGAGGAAGAGAGAGATTCTGGTCGCGGTGATGAGAGCATTCTTATGGATAATGGCAGCTCAGAGAGCTCATCTACAAACGGATCAAGAGGCACAGTCCGCCGAGCGGATACAGGCGTCTGTAGACACGGCGTCGTGGCCTCAATCTCGTGGCTTTCGTGACAGATGACCAGTCAGGAGCCACAATCGGTCATGAAGATAGGGGATCGGGCCGTAGCGTCGTGAGGAAATGGAGCAGAGTTTCCAGCTGTCTGAGAAATAAACAGAGCAGGACGTTAGCGACGGTGAAGCTGGAGGCAAGTCTCACAGCACTAAGCCAGGGGAGGGCCGATGAGGCAGAGGGAGGCCGGGCCATGGACGTCACGGTTGAGGACGGCCACCAGAGTGCTTGGGTCGACAGAGAGTGACTATTGGACACTGCCTCCCTGTAGAGCATGTCGGCATGCTGCAGCGCAGCCTGTGGATCGGTCGAGGCTCTGCTGTAGATTCCGACTTTGCGGTGTCTTGATCAGCAGGCGGCGTGCAAGCCACCGACACGAGCCAGTCCTGGGCCATGACGGTGACTGGACCGAGGGCGCGGTGGGTGCAATGTTAGCAAGATGGAAATCGCAGACGAGGCGTTGGAAATGACCATGTGCAGTCGAAGCAGAAATGCAGCGAGGTGGAGTTACGGCCGCGCAGGCGTGAGTGGAGGAACGGCCATGCACCTCGTGGTGTTTGGAAATGGAAAGCGTTGGAGGCGTCGCGCTCTGGTCGCTGCATTGGAAACAGGCGAGGAGGCAAGCCAATCATGGTAGACGCCAGGCCCGCTTAGCCTTTAACTGTCGACCGGGGTCTCGGGGCACGCTAGACCTGCCCGGGGCGCCCTAGTCTTCAGGTAAAGAATTAAGCTCGGCGCCTTGACCTCATGCGGACGGCTGAGCAGATAGCCCTGGTGGACTGCGAGGCACCAGAGGCCACACAGTGACACGACTCGCATCTGGCCTGGACGTTTGCGGCAGGAACAGGCGCATGGCTTCTCACATGGCCTGCCAACGGTGCTGCTGCATGCTGCAAGCTGAAAAGCCTTCTTTTGGCCATCTGCGCGCATCACTGGTCCATCCGTCTATTTTCATCCACCACCGTGACCTCGCTTCTGCATAGCGCCAGGGTCGTTGGTGCGGGATTTTGCTCCTGGAACCGCGACTTCTCTGTGGTCAAGAAAGCGGTTTCATGAATCGGTGGCTTGAATGCCATCTGCTCAAACCTGACAGCTCATGGATCAATTGTTTTTCCATTCCCTCACCTCTACTCCAGCCTCAAGCAGCCACACGCGAGCCACAACCCACCCCCATGTCGGCTGTGCTGATGTCCACTCAGGTTCACGCATAGACACGGCAATGAGGCTGGGTCGGTTCGTCGCCTGTACCTGAGACTCATCTGACGCTCTAGTTGCAGGTCGAGACCCCGATTGAGGTGGACCCGTCACCCTAATCCTCTGTCTCACGAGAAAAGACCTGAGAGTCTTCGCACCAAACCATGACGTGACCCACGCGGATGGGAGCCGTCAGCCTCAAACGGTCGCTGAATATGGCCCGACCAATGGTCCCCAGATACTCCCCATACTCTATTTTTCCGCGCGGTCAAGCTGAACCAGACTGATCCCTGTCCAGCGTGGCTGTTGAAGTGGTCGTCATTTTCAGGGCCAAGAAACAAGGTACACCCGGCCTGTTGGTTCCGAGCAGTCATGGAGGAATACACTCAATCACGTTCCGCAATGGCCTGCAGACGTTCCTCGATCTCATCTTCCGTCAGACTCCTGAACTCATTATCCGTACCCTCCTTTCCGTCAGCTCTTGGCCCACCCACGATGCCAATCTCCAATTCGCCTTTCTTGAAGTCCACACTCAAGACTGTGCTGAGCGTGCTGATGCCTAGCTCGACGACTTCCTCCCAGCTGCCGGGGGCATGGTCCTTGTTCTTCAGCTTCTTCTCAAGGTGATTGAGTGCCTCCTGTTGCTTTGGTCCAGACGCCGTTGCTTTGTACCCAACGTAATAGCCTGCTGGGTCACATTTGTAGAGCTGGGGGCCGAACTCGTCGTCGACCGAGACCAGTGTCGTGGCTACGCCCAATGGTCGCATGTAGGCCTACGACGAGCCGTTAGCTTGCTTCCTGGTCCTGCTACTTAGCAGATTGGACGTACTCGTTGCGTGTACACCTGGTTGATGTTGGCCAATCGTTTAGCCAGAACATCACAGGGCATTTCGTACCCATTCTTGTATCTGAATTCTGCAGCCTCTCCTCTTGCACGGACGACCGAAGCTCTGGCATCAGCAATTGAGCCAGTCATAACACATCCGACCGAGGGTGAGATCTTGAAGACATGGGAGACTGAGGAGGGGTCAATCAATTTGTCCTGGGCGAAGGTTAGCGGTCAGGGCAAGGCTATTGACCACGGGGCGAGTTGTTCCATACCGGGACCTTCTTTTGCGATAACACGACAGCGCATGTCTTGCCTCTGACTCCCACGGACGTGATATTGGCTGCGGTAATTGCTTTGAAGGCATATTCTGGACGTAGATGTAAGCACGTGTCCTTTGGCTTCTCTAGGCCGACTCTTGATAGATTCTGGAGGATGCGCCGGTCACGGCAGCCGAAGACATGCGGCGCGAACGCAGAGCAGGGAAAAGTCCAGGGGATCAAAGGACGTACCGACTTGATATAACCGACCCTGATCGGAGAAGATGGTAATATGTCGATCATAACCCGCAGAGCCTGATGGGACAGTCGTCAGCTCGGTGTGTCCGACCCAGCTACAGCTACCAACACCATCAAAAGTACCGACCTGACATCTTGACTTCGGCCGACCGAGGTCCAACAAACCAATTGTAAGACTCAGACCAGCTTCGAGAATATGCTCGAGAGACGTAGCTTTGTTCAGAGGAGTGAGATGAAGACTTCTGTTGTGACTTTTGAAGCGAATAAGATGGTGTTCACCATCCTCAATCTGAGGGTGCAGAACACGCAACAGCGCGTTGCCTTGCCGTGGCACGAGCCACAGTGGCTGCTGCACCGCCACTGGCTGGCCGGGAGATGGGGAACCTTCTCCATTGGCCGGCTCTTCAAACCTCAGCTGCAGCGAATATTCTAAAATTCTTCTAGTTGGTGATATTTGCTCTTGGACGGCGTTTCTGCTGAGCTGCATTTTCTGCCGACGAAAAGGCTGTTCACCTGGACATAACAGTTGACAATGGGCCAGGCTATAATTCCAGCTTGGAAGAGACTCGGGCTGAAACTCAAATTTGCACAAGAGGTCCCTGAGACGCTTGTGGTCAATGCCAAAGTCACAGCGGAAACCCAAGCTACACTTATTCGGTCAGAGGACCGAGAACACAACACGATAGAACCACCGAGGAAGAAGCGGAAGACTGAAAGCAAGCCCAAGGAAACTGGGAGACACTCATCACCTGCTTCGAAACCCTCCCAGGACCCTACAACGAACAACGAGGTGCCATCAGGAGTGAATTTGAAGAAACAAGTGTCGTTCACAGCCGACACGAAGGGTGCATCTGCTACAACAAATGGCGGCCCCTTGCCCTCTGAATCGACCAACAGAGAAGCTCAGGCCTCGACAGCAGGCAAGAAGCAGCCTGAGAAAAAGGCCGCCAAGAACTCCCAGCAGCTTCCCGTCCAAAAGGCCGACACAGCGCTCAACTATCTCACCCAATACAACGTAGCACGACCAAGCTGGAAATTCAACAAAAACCGCGAGACTTGGATCCTAAAACATATCTTCTCTGAACGCGATATCCCTCGAGACTACGACCTTGCGCTGTCGAGATACATCCATGGGCTAAAAGGCGTGGGCGCGCGCGAACGGCTGAATAAGCAATGCATGGAGTTCGTGGCGAAGGAAAACGACAGGCAGAATGATGTCAACGAGGCCGGGGAATCGTCCAAGTCGGGAAGAGATGAGCAGTATGCTCAACGTTTCAAGAGCGAACTGGGCAATTCGACGACTTCAGATTCGGCACACGAAAACAGCGCCGACCACAACCTCGAATACCGATCTTGGATCCGAGCGCAGACACGTCCAAAGCTCCTGCTGTTGGCCATCGCCTTGGAGGATGATTCCCTCCACCTGGACGGATTGGGCCCGAGATCAGAACCCGAGCAAGCCCGTGGTGCTGGGAACGGGCCACCGCCAAAGGTCAAGAAGAAGAAGAACAGAACCGCAGTTGTCGATTATGACAGTTCCAGCTCCAGTTCTAGCTCGGACTCAAGCGAGACTGAGAGCGAGAGCGAGCTACGTGACAGCCAGGTGACGGATGACCAAACATTGGAGGACGAGACTTCAAGCAGTGGTAGCGACAGCGAGTCCAGTTCTGACGATGTGTCTAAGTCGTGACGGTCCCGTATTGTCCAGGTGGCCACCAGATTTGACGCGGCTTGTTGGAATGCTCCTAGGCCCTCGCCTCTCCCGTGACCCATGTTATTCTAGTGTGTAGGCATGAGAGGCGGCATCATGACGGCGAATCACTGTAGATAGCTTACTTCCATATTGAGCATCAACCATATGAAAGCATCACCAGTAACAAAATGCGCCGAGCATGAACAAGATGTCTGTTGGGGGTCCTCCGACTTGATGGCCCTCGGAGATTTGTGCAGTTTGTGCAGTTTGCGCAGTTTGCAGAGTTTGTCCTGTTGGGGAGCTGCCAGGGGCGGCCGGCTGAGGCGGGTGTTGTCGTGGCAGTGGATGAATCAGTGGTGCCTGGAGTGAGTGGGTACGCAGGAGCCACTCTTGCCGTCATCTTGCTCACAAGACTTGAAGACCGCCCGCGATTGCCAGTGCCAACTCTCACCTGGTGCGACAGTCATCTAGGCGATCCTCTCATCCCAATCAACGACCTGCCTTCCTCCTTTCCTTCTTATCATCCTTTCATCCCAACTTTCATCTCTTGCCGTTTGTTTTCTTTCCCTGGTTAGCAATTGGTGGTTGTCATAATGAAGAACAGTCTCGTCATCGCAGCAGCTGCGCTGCTCGGTGCCGCCGATGCTGGCATGCATCGCATGAAGCTCCAGAAGGTGCCATTGACGGAGCAACTGGTAAGTTCGCTAGTCTGCCTTTCTCGAAATGCATAGCCTGACATCAAATGGCAGAGCGCTGCCAACATCGGCGATCATATGCGAGCCCTTCGCCACAAATACACGCAGAAGCCCATCGGTGGCCCATCTGAAGACATCTTTAGAGATACCTCTATCCACCCTGATGGCCCGCACGAGGTTCCCGTCGAGAACTTCCTCAACGCGCAATGTGAGCAATGTGACTGCCTCTGTCATCTTCACCTAGCTAATCTCAAGCAGACTTCAGCACCATCGCCCTTGGCACACCCGCCCAGGAATTCAAGGTCGTCCTCGACACCGGGAGCTCCAACCTCTGGGTTCCTAGCTCTTCCTGCGGCTCCATTGCCTGCTACCTTCATCAAAAGTACGATTCGTCCGCTTCCTCCACGTACAAGAAGAACGGCTCCGACTTCGGCATCCGATATGGCTCTGGTGAAGTGGCGGGTTTCATATCTCAAGACGTTTTGCGTATCGGAGACCTCAAGATAAAGGACCAACTGTTCGGAGAGGCTACCAGTGAACCTGGTCTGGCTTTCGCATTTGGCCGTTTCGATGGCATCTTGGGTCTGGGCTACGACACCATCTCTGTCAACCACATCCCTCCCCCGTTCTACAACATGATCGACCAGAAGCTCCTCGACGAGCCGGTCTTTGCTTTCTATCTCGGCAACACCGAAGACGGCACGGAATCCGAGGCCACTTTTGGTGGTCTCGACAGCAGCCACTACACCGGCAAGCTGATCAAAATCCCACTCCGACGAAAGGCTTACTGGGAAGTCAACCTCGACTCGATCACCTTTGGAAAGGACACCGCCGACCTTGACAACACCGGTGTTATCCTCGACACCGGCACTTCGCTGATTGCCCTGCCCAGCACACTCGCTGAACTTCTCAACAAGGAAATTGGTGCCAAAAAGGGCTTCAATGGCCAATATACTGTCGAATGTGACAAGCGCGACTCGCTGCCTGACATCACCTTCACGCTCAGCGGGTACAACTTCTCCATCACTGCTCATGACTACATCCTCGAGGTCCAGGGCTCCTGCATCAGCAGCTTCATGGGCATGGACTTCCCAGCTCCTACCGGGCCGCTTGCAATTCTTGGTGACAGGTCAGTAATCTCAACACCGGTTCTCGTTCTATCCCGTGCTAACATGATTTTCTGCAGCTTCTTGAGGAGATGGTACAGCGTCTACGACCTGGGCAGCGACTCAGTCGCTCTGGCTAAAGCCAAGTAAATGGGCCACGGCTTTGCCTGAGTTTACTGTATCAAAATGGCGATTGCTGAAAGGAACCGGAAATTGAACCACAACCTGAGTGACGGGAGTTGAGCAGTGCAGTATATACAGTACATGGCTTCCTACCACCAGCTTAATAGTGTACATCGACACTAGCGTTGCAGTGCTGTTTTGGCACAGGCACTAGCCGGAAAGTACCTCGAAGCTTTCGTACACAATGTCAATGATAAACTCCAAGTTGGTCTTTAGAAGGACAATGGCAGGCATTCCCTAATCTGGTGATGGAACGAAAAGGTCTCGTGATCGCATGACGGTCTTTATTGCGCCTTTTGGCCGCTGTCCCCTCGTGCCCGTGCCCCTGCAGTGACGGCATCTAGTTAGCGGACAGCCGTCGGATCCCTTCCGTGCCTTGCGAGTACCTATATGATTGGTGGCTACGAGTGTGGAGATGTCTGTCTGAACATAAAAGAAGCTCGCTGGACTGCTGCGGGTGGGAATGTCCACCCTCGGATACTGAGCACATCCACTGCACCCAGCGCAATTGAGCTGTTTGGAGCTCGTCGGAGCCCATCAAACCTGAAAGCTGTCCACATAGCACCTGAACTAGCCATCCGTTTCTCTGCCCAACGACTCCCAGTGCATACCCAGTACTCCGTACCACAGTATAGCCAGCACCCGGTGTACCTACTGGGCTTTTACCTATCCGGATTCAACTTGCCGACAGACCCTGACTCGCCTCGTCGTGCGCTCTCCCACACGCGCATTCCGACACCACAGCCAATTACTCCATTTATCAACAGATCCCACTGCAGCCTTTGTTGTCTCGCATAACAAGCTACCGACAGAGTCACTGTTTCTCCTCACGCAGCTACATCGCCCCGAGCCGCATTTCGCATTCCTTCTCTTTGCCATCAAAACGACCTCGCTGCCATTCGCATCGCGCTACCCCGACGCCCGCTAGTTCAGACAAAAGTCGCATTGCCTGTCTAGGCCGAACTCCGCAGATACTCGCAAATACCTCATCCGCCGCAATACGTACCCTCCCTTGAAGGCCTCGATCTCTGCGCGCGCAGCGGGTTCAGCAAGTCTCGTCATTTTCGCACGGCCGAGACTGTGTGGAGCACATTGCTGCCTGTCTACCACGGTGCGCTCAACTTGATCCGCTTCTATTCTGAGAGCACCTACATGCGCCGATCAATGTTCCTGTCGCGTTCGGCATGTTACTTCGACTTCCCAAAAACCTCCACTATCCTATCACCATCACAAAGATCGAGAAACTGGTCGGCGACCCTGTTGCCCGCAATGACGCCATCTTCCTGTATTCATACACGATTAAGCTGAGAGAAGAGGAACGGTATGAGGTGAGGAAAGAGGAGGACATACCGTGGGTGGAAAAGAAGTTTGTCACGCATTTCTCCAGCACTCTTGATGGCACGATAAAAGCATGGAGGGTCTGGCAAGGGGACGTCCTGACAGCTCCGTAAGTGCCTCCGAGAACATCTGTGGAGGAGTGATCCCTGACTGGCGCGCAGTGTCGACGTCTGCGAAATCGAAGAGGAGTGTACGCATGCTGTCCAGGCTCTTGGCATGTGTATCAATTGCGGTAAAGACATGACCATGTAAGTACATCGTTGGTGACAAATGCTGAACAAGGAACTGATGCTGGCTAGTGTTGCAGTGGGAAGCGAAACTACAGACGCCGACCGCGCCCCCATCCGCATGGCACACGATACCGCTCACCTCACCATTAGCAAAGAAGAAGCAAGCAGGATCGATGAGGAAGCGAAGCGCCGGCTGCTATCTTCTCGCAAGCTCTCATTGGTGGTCGATCTCGATCAGACAATCATCCACGCTGCAGTTGAGCCCACCATCAGAGAGTGGATGGAAGACAAGGACAATCCAAACCACGATGCCGTGAGCGACGTGCGGGCATTTCAGTTGACCGACGATGGCCCGGGCATGAAGGGCTGCTGGTACTACATCAAGCTGAGACCTGGCCTTGCTGAGTTCCTGGACCATATCTCACAGCTCTACGAACTCCACATTTACACCATGGGAACACGTCAATATGCCACCGAGATTGCCAAACTCGTCGACCCGGAGAAGAAATACTTCAGTGACCGCATACTCAGTCGAGACGAGAGCGGCAGCATGATCGCCAAGAACCTCGAAAGACTGTTCCCTGTTGACACCAAGATGGTTGTCATCATTGACGACCGCGGTGACGTCTGGAAATGGAGCGCCAACCTTATTCGGGTCACTCCCTTCGACTTTTTTGTTGGCATTGGAGACATCAACTCCAGTTTCCTGCCCAAGAAGCAAGAGATACAAGCCACGCCGACAGCTGAGCCTAAAAAGATCACAGCCAATGGTGCGGACGACGGCGCAAACGGCGAAGGTGAACGCAACGGCAAGGCCGAAGACGGAACGTCCACCATTCAGAATGGCACCGCAGCGCTAGAACAGCTGATCGCAATGAGTGGCAGTGACAGCCCTGCAGTACGCGAATTGCAAACCAAAGACCAAGAAGAGATCATCAAGGTTCAATTAGAAGACAAGCCCCTTCTTAAGATGCAGCTCCAGCAAGACCAGAAGGACGAGGCTGAAGCGGCCGCCAATGGCGAAGCGGCTACGTCCCAGTCCACAGAATCAGACTCGAGCGACTCTTCGGACTCGTCAGAGTCAAATTCAACCCCCAAGCAGAAAGGGCGGCACAGCATCCTGAAAAACGACGATGAAGAGCTCATTCACCTCGAGGCGACGTTGACAAAGGTGCATGAAGCCTTTTTTGCTGAATACGACCGAAAGCGACTAGGAGGGAAAGGGGGCCGAGTTGCCGAATTGACTGGCAAGCGTAAGGAGCCACTGCCAAGTCGAGACGATAACGAGGGTCAGTCCTTGGAGCTGAGATTTGTGCCGGACGTCAAGAGAGTCATGCCAGCCATGAAAATGAGAGTTTTGGCAGGGGTCAGGATCGTTTTCAGCGGCGTCTTACCACTGGGGACCGATATCCAGAATGCCGACATCAGCACGTGGGCGAAGACATTCGGCGCCACCATCACAGACAAGATATCCAGGGACGTCACCCACGTGATAGCTGCTCGTCCAGGCACTGCCAAGGTCAAGCAAGCGGTGAAGCGTGGCATCAAAGTCGTCGGGACGCCATGGCTGATAGCGTCTATGCAACAGTGGCGCAAATTGGATGAACGACCGTACCTGCTGGAGGGAGTCCAGAAACAGAAACATGAGACCTCGAGCGATTTAGGTGACAATCTCGACAAGGCAGGTGGAAATGTCAATGATTTCCTTCTCAGTTCGTCCGACGGGGAAACGACCGGGCTCGACACGGAAGACGACCAGCCCAGACGGAAACGGCTCAAACTGGATACCTCGAACGAGGACGAGGCCGAGGAGTATGAGGAAGTTGTCGATGATGGCAGTCCAGTCACCATCAATCAGGACGAGTGGGCTGATATCGATGCCGAGTTGAAAGAATTTCTTGGTAGCGACGCTGAGAGCGAAAGTGATACCGACTCGGTGAGCTCTGCTTTAAGTATCCGAGACAGCCGGAGAGGCAAGAGACGAAGAGACGATGATGACGACGGAGACAATAGCTCAGCCAGCGACGTGGATCGATCACCCGGGCGCAGGCGAAACGGTACAGGTAGCGGCCTGAAGAAGGTCAAAAACATCGACAGCGAACGCGAATCAGAGGCCACCGACACACCGACAGCAGGCACAACAGAGGAGCAAATCCGTCTCGAGCAACGACAGGCCGAAGAAGCACAAGAGCGTGAAGACGAGGCGGTGGAAGACTCGGATGACGAGCTAGCGCGAGAACTGGAGCGGGAGCTGGAGGAGTATGACGCCGAGTAATGAGCCTGCAGTCCAGCTGGGTGATTCGTTACTTGAGCCTCGACCATCTCTTGGAAATCTGTGCCCGAGTCTGTGACTGTGATTGAATGTCGTCTTCATAGCGCGGCGTTGGGACTCGGCTTCGACATTGGGCATGAGCATCAGTGAAGGCCATTACACCGCATCGATTCAGGGCATGGACACGGCTTTGGAGGATAGCATAGCATAGTATGGCATGGCATGGCACAGCATAGCATGGCGTACCACAGCCCAGGGAGCTATCGGGTGAAAGCGCGCTATTACAAGAAGATGACTGCAACATGTATTCTTTGGCCCTCGTCAATATCATAATGCGCTGGACACAGGGTACCATACCACCAATACACGGGACCGTGTGGTCTCTCGATTCGTCGCCCCTGCTGTCGAGTCTCGGTTCCGCATAAACGTCACGGCGAGCGAAAGGATGGGCTGCAACGCGGCGTTTTGTCACGCCTCAACGGCCAGCATCTGCGCATTTGCTTGATACCTCCTCTCCCATTCAGCGCGTATCGCATGAACGCTTCGGACTTTGTCTTCAGCCCCAAAGCGTTCCTTTCGATTGTACGGAGTACTGTGTAGACGACACCATGCGACATGTGCGCATTCGGGGGGCGAAGAGGCTCGCACAGGGAAATTTCAACTTCATCTCACCGGCCAACTCCCGGATTGCAGCTCACTTGGCGAATCGTGTCTTTGTTTTCTAGACATGATTAACCACTCTTGGGGCCCTCTGTGGCTCTCGCTGTCAAGCTTCCTCTTCTAGCTCAAGCCTGCTGCAGGCTCACTCACCCCGCTGACGGCTGAGCGACGGTCAAACATCCCATTGCTTCCCATATTCAACTATGGCTTCGAAAGAACCGAAGAACCGACATGACCCTGCATCCTGCCCCAGGTCCACCATGTCGGTACTCCGTGCGCATCTGTCATATTCTAGGCCCTCGCTGACATCCTCCGTGTTATCTGCTCGGCGCACTCTGTGATCGACCTCCGATGCGTTCACACGAGAGAAACCAGTGCCTTATAGACCCTGCCTACGATCGTCGGGCTCGAGCCCTGGGGCGAGTGGAAATGAGCGCTTGACATCTGCCTGGCGACGGAAAAGTCGAAAGCGACACGAAAAAGTAGAATGTTGGCGGCAACTCCGACTCATGTGAATGGCGCACCAGAGATCTCGGACGGAGCACAAGACTCTGCTCCAAGGTCGTGGAACAACCTAAGGAGATGGAGTGTCCGGAAGAGCCAAGCCAGTGCTATGCACAACGAGCAGGACCGCTCCAATACAGGGTTATCAGGTACCGGGGTCAACGAGAACTATACCACACATCGCGATGGAGATGAACAGTCACGCCGAAGCCACGCAGTTGCCATTCCTGCCTTGAGACATGTCATTGTACTCCTCGCTTTCTCCCTGCCGATCGTTGCGCTCGCCCTCGTCGTCAAAGTCCCGGAGTGGTACGCCTTTGAAGCAGAGAACTGGGTGTCGAATTCTTTTACACACTGCAATTTCAATGGCGAGTTTACGCCTCTGGACGAACCCACCTTGGGCCTTTGGGATCCGGAGGGCTTCTTCTACATCACGGTCTCCTGGGGCAAAATGGCTTTCTCGACGGCAAAGTTGATCGATATTGTTTGGGACATAGTTGTTGGACGGGGGGGACAAGCTCTGCTGGCATTCGTCACGTTTAAGGTCTCGTCGCAATACTTGGCCCTGGCGATGGTGAAAGCGCCCGTGTCCTACAACACTTTCGAGTCCCTGGCATTTGTACCTCCCACTTTGGTCAGGACAGTTCGACTAGCTGGAGATCTACTGACGAACCGGGGCTGGCAGGCGAGGTTGATCATGGTTTGGATCATCTTGAGCTCGCTGTTCGTTCTCTGCTTTTCCTCTCTGATCACTGCCATGTCGGGTTACAGCAGCAACATCAACGCAGTGATGCCAAACCACGAAAATGAATCAGTCTTGTGGTCCAATTTTCAAGTAGTTCAATTCGCCGTCAATGATGCCGAGCGAATTGGCCATTCTGGACCGCTCTTCATTACTACGGGAGATATCTGTGTCCAGAGCGGCTTCCGCGACGACGATGACGACGAGGATGGCGACAGTGGGAGGTACTTTGCTAAAAGGTATCTCGCTGCGGCAAACCCTCCCAGCCGACGTGACGACGAGGACGAGAACGAGGACGGCAATGCAGACGGCATTGGGGAGGTGCCTTGGGAGTATGTCCCGGCCAACTGCACAACGTTTTGGCATATTGTGCAATACGTGAGCACCTACGGGCTTCAAGCCAAGAATCATACAGAAAGTACGATTGCTTTCAACGGGACGACCCACAAGCTTGCTGCCCCGGCGTTAGATATTACCACTTCCTACTCGCCAACCGCACTTTCCACATTGTCAACGTACCTCAATACCTTTTCGATGTCCTCGCCGCCAGCTCAAGGTTCGCTCTCCTCGGTGTCTGAACTCACAGACAACACTTTCTGGGTTTACGACGATGAAACCTATTCTCTCTCCTACGTCCTCGACAACGCCACGTGTCGCTATTCTAAATGGCACAACTGGGGTTTCTCGTTCCTGTTCTTGTTTTCCACCTCTCTGCTACTCGCCATATGGTCCGTGGGGACCTATGCGCTGTGGTTGTATACACATCTCCACAGTTCCCAGGACCAAGTTTCTCGCCTCAATTCGACGGGCGGGATCTACCGCTCAAGTTTTACACTTGTCGAAGCTATGAAGCGAGACTTGGGTCCCGGCGCCGTTACCCCAGAGCTCAAGGAATGCGAGATCCGGAGCTTGGTCAGTCGACGACGTGGACGTGTAATCCATGGCGTCGGCAATATGGACACAGGGCCATCACCGATACTCTGCGAGCCTGAGAAGAACTTGACCACTTCTCCTTCCACGACCTCACCAACCAGCCAATTCCCGACAATACGCTGGCGCGCACTGCGCTCCTGGGTATCTCCATCAATGCACCCGAGACCCAGCCATGCAGACGAGATGCAATCTTCCGCAAACAGTGTCTTCACACATGCAAATTCAACCTTTTCATCAACCTCACAACATCCCATCCTACATTACCCTGCTTCACCAGGAAGGACCATGACCATGACATCTCGAATATCTTCCCTAGCATCTCCTCTGACAGAAGTTCCTCCTGAATTCGGCTTCTCACCAGCGACACAGGCAGGCATACTCGACGAGACCAGCGACGTTAGCGGTACCGATCCCTCCGAGACAAGGACCTCGGGCAGGCCTCGACCGCGGCTGAGTCTGAGTCGAGCGATACGCCTATCAACGCAGGGCGGGACCAATCCGCGAGCGGCGTCGTTGCTTTCAGCGTCCTCCACAGCACCAAAATGTGTCTCGTCGCCTGGTCCTGTCACGCCGTCGGATGACTCTCCTTCCACCATCTCCCCTATACCGGAGGACAAAAAGTACGAAGACGCTGTGAGATGGAGGAACGACCTGGGCGACGATTGAAGCAGACATTGGTGCTCCTTGCATCTCTCCTCCCCGTATCGTGGTCAGCCCCTCAGCCCCTCCTCTCCATTCTCCATTGGCCAGTATGGAGACGACCTAGGAAATCGAACCCTCACCACTACCTGTTCAGTCCGGGAGGTACTCTCCTCACATGACGGGGTAATAGGTCAAGCACCGCCCTGGTATGCATGCGTACAGCAGCCCTTGACTCCACGATACCAAAATTACGGCATATAGTTCATAACGACTCGCAACTTGAAATGCTTTTTTCCACCTGAAAAGCCACCCGCGATCGGACAGCGTCGGAACAGAATGCTGGAAAGCCCCGCCGCCATGTTCGGACCCGATCCATGCCCTGGAGCATTATATCTAGGCGGCCTGACCATCTGCATAGTTCGTCTTCTCACGCACGCAGTAGTGATGGCGACGCGAGCCCATCGCGGACCCGAGGACATGCGAACTGACTGATTGACTGATCTCAATGATTTGGAAAAATGAATTTAGCGATCTTGGGTGCTACGAGACAGAGGGCCAAGAAATCTGTGCCGACGGTACGGAGTGTTCATGACATGGACGTGTATGTGTATATACAGTAACTCGAGCTCATGACCATGACCATGACCATGACCATGACCATGAGCTCTTCCTTTAATGTATTATGAAGCGCAGGGTAAAATGGCAATTGCAACGTTACGGACGACCGCGATCCTCTTCGTCACGGTATCTCCTGATGAAGCGCGTGTGCTTGGTTCTTGGTCTTGGTCTTTGTTTCTGAATCCTCTGACCGTCGAGAGAGGATAAGGACGTGCTGATGTGACGGTGAGAAAAAGTTTTGACACCGACGATTAGAGAGAGAGACACCATGCTCTCGATCAGTGCATTCAAGGCTGTCGCGTCTATCACGTCATCTTCGTGGCGAGACTGGTGAAAGCACCCGTATACTGTGAAGATGCTCCCAATGTCTCGGTTTGGTCCTCTGCTCTCTTCTCTTCTCCTCTTCTATGCTCTCCTCTGCTTTGCTTCGCCTCCCCTGCCCTGCCCTGCCATGTCATGCCCACGGTCTACCATCTCCAGTCGTGTATACAGCTTGAGCGCAATCTCGCCCATTTGAGGCCTGCCTAATCCTCGCAGTCCGTGGCGTGGCGTGGCGTGGCGCGGTAGGGGACAAAATTAGAATCCCGCCAAACTTCGATACCGTCGCTCCCGAACGCGCTAGACGACGAGCTCGGATTGGATGTCGTCGTGTTGAGCAACTCTGTAATTGACCATAGCTGTCGCTGTGGCTGTCGCTGTGGCTGTCGCTGTGGCTGTCGCTGTGGCTGTCGCTGTAGATGTCCTCGTACTGTACTGCAACAGGCCAGACCGCTCCATCTGCACCATATCACATGTCACATATCACATACCACATACTACACGCTACACGCTACACGCTACATACCAGTCTTGATGAACGGCGTGCGCTGTCTAGGTCTCGGTTGCTTGACATCAGACTTCGTTAGGCGAGCTAGCAGTACGTGTCTGCAATTGAGCGGGAACAAAACCAGAGACGGGGACAAGGATAATGTCTGCCGCTCACACTGGACAACGGTGAGGACTTGTCGTGCTTGGTGTTTGTCCGGATGGAACGGGAAGATGATACTGTATCTATCCCCCGGAAATGGGATGCGGCACTCCCCATGTGGAATGATGATTCGTTTCGTGCGGTGCGGTATGCTGTGTGAATTGGTTGAGCCGGGCTCTAATAGGCAGAACAACCGAACCAAGATGGTCGAGCAGCGAGATGGAAGAAGAGACCTTTTCTTCACTGCCGTCATCGTCCCCGTCGTAGCGGACTCGTTGGAGCCTGCTCGGGGTGCTGCTACAAGACGTGGAGGATGCTTCTTGCCTCGACTACGATGCGGGCTCTAAAGCCTGCCGATGTGTTTGATCAGTGTCGAAAGAAGTTCTCCTCGAGAAGAGTCCGGGTGGTGCCTGTCTCGAAGGGCGACTCGCTGGGCGGTAGATTATTCAACCATTCAGTCGCAAGTAAGGTCGATTGCCGGGTGCGTCAGGTCTTGACACTCGAGCTACTCAGGTCCTTCTCCATAGATACATTGCTGGGACCCTCGGAAGATACCGTGGCCTCTCGAGCTTTGCGTTCTATTTCCCGCTTCTCCCGGGCACGTCTCGCGTGCTGCCGTCGAAGGTTGATCGGCTGGTACACCTCGTTGAAATTCATCACCACTCCCAAGAATCGTAGATCCACGTCTGGCTGATGAGCCAGGTCGTACAATAACATACTCACTCGCGATCTGAATTCAGCGGACAGATTCAGTTGTCTTGACCTTAGAAGGCTGAGATGAGTTTCATCGTCCGTTGTGCTCAGGTTGACGTTCGATGGCGCAAGAGAAGGTTCGTTTTCTTCCGCGACTAACTGTGCGCCTTTTAGAAGTGCTCCGCCTGTTGGTGTGCTGGCTCTCGAGTCTCCAAGTACGTCCTTCTCTGTGATGCCCCATTTACCTTGAGCGGTTCGTCGCTCTATCTTGGCACTGAACTGCTGCCGTCTCGTATACTCGGCAACACTGTACGAGTAAAGCGAATCGATGACTTCGCGGTAAGCGAGCATGCATTTCAAGATGTGATGTACCTGCACAATCAGGCTGTCTTCTTGTTGGCCAGTGACCGGATGCCGTTGTTGGCCGATAAGCCCCTTTTTGGTGATGTTGTTGAGATAAGTCGTGTGAGCTTCGATCAAATCATCAAGTGTGGCTTCGGGCTTCTGGAGAGCGTCCTCGAGCTTTTTCCAGCTAGCTTCGATGACCTCAAAGAGCAGATAATACTGCAGCTGATTGACAAAATGGACCATCTCGGCCACGACGCATCGTGACCGCTTCCAGTCATTGCCTAACTTGTCGCTGACGGCAGCCAGCACTCCTCGACCCCCGGTCATACTGCGTTTGCAAGTTGAGGCGAGAGAGTATTCGACCCTTTTGATTCTCCACAACAAGTTGAAGATTTTCAGGTACTGTGTGTTGGCCCATTGAGTGATGACAACATCGCAAGGGGCGCTGATCTTGTACTCCAGAGTGAAGCAGTCCCATCCAATCTCGCCGCTGGAAAGCTCAAGCATACGCGCATCCAGCCGGCGCAGGACTTCGGCGTCGTCGTATTGTGCATTAGAATGTCGAATTGCGTGTTCGAGCTGGGAAGTGAGGTTGTGTCTGTACATGGAGTTCACCGGCCGATCCAGGTGTTGAGCTAGTGACTCGATGAGTAGATCAAAAAAGTCACCCTGCGCCAGCAGCATGTACTTCTTTATCGCTGTCAGGTGAGTAAACAGGCCAAACTTGGTGGACATCAGGTTAGTCAGGCGGGACATGGTTGTGCGGTAGGCGACGTCGATGGACTGAGAGAGATTGGAGGTGTTCCCGTAGTCCAAAGACCTCGAGTTTGACTTCGAGTATTGGATCACCCAGTCGGAGTCTCCACAATTGTTGCGGATGAAGTTGAGGGATTTGCCAATGAGGAAGACTTTCCTGGCAAATTCGGAAGATATGATGGAGGGCACCATGGCCGTGTCGAGCTTGTACTTCTCCTCCCAAACAGAGGTAGCCACGTGCCTATGATCGATCGCCGGCTGAGCGTTCGGATCTGGTTCTGTTATGAAAAATTCATGGTAAGGATCGATTAATTCTCCGTCGTAGATCCAGTGCTTGAGCATCTCGTAGAAGGGGCGAGCCACCTGTGCCAGAATCTTCTCGGCGAAAGAGGCGACGAAGGGATCACCATGGGACGAGGACAGATTGTGGATGAGAGACAACAGTTGGCCGCCTCGCTTCTGCTTTGAGTCTTCAACGATCAGTTTCATGAGGCGCAGACCCATAGTCGCATCCCTGGTCCATATCAGACACCTCTTCAAAGTCACACCCGTCAAGCGCACGGACTTCTGATCCTGGGTATTCTGCACAGTCACCAAGGCTTGTCGGATTTCGGTTTCCAGCGATGCCACGAGACTTAAATAGGAGCGTAGTTCGTTGTTGATGGCAGAACGGAGACTCTGATCAATGAGACCTCCATCTTGACCAGCGGCGTACTCTGCCAACCCTCGATACAGCAGACAAGGTTCAGCGAGTGCATGAAGCAAAGACAGAATGGGAACCGGCAGTGTAGGGGGCAGTTTGAGGCATGTCGCGTCGGTAAAGTCAAGATGCGCGGAGGAAACGCCTTGAAGATTGAAGGGTAAATCTCGGAGCAGATCCAATTCGGAGGGAAACAATACTCGTGCTTTCAGCTTGGCTTGAGCTGCTTGTTGCGGCTGTGGCTGTTGCTGTTCCTGGTCCGCCTCCGGCGGTTGTGTCCGGCCATCCTCCTCTACAGCCGCCTCAACATCTGCTTTGGGCTGACTTAATTTTGCTGAGAAAGCACGGCCCCTGCGCAATGATGGTTGTGGTGGTATTGCATCGACATCGTCGTGCTCGTGCTCGTGCTCGTGCTCCTCTTCATCCTCATCTGCCACAAACGGCTTACCCGGAGACAAGGTATGACGGCGTGGAATGTTTGCGAGCTGATTGGAATCGACCAGTGGGTTTCGAGGAGGCGGTTCGGCGCGAGCGTTGTCGGACAACTTGTAGAGTAGATAGAGAATAGCCCATTTCTGGTTAAGGACCGGGATAGCGAGCAGTCTCGAGTAGAGGTTACTGAACCGAGCGGCCTTCTCTGGAGACGCATTTTCGCGCAACAGCTTCCGCTTGATCAGATCTTGGGCCTGGTTTGTGTCTGGAGGCAGTCTACTGTCTGCGCTCAGGACAATCTCTTTTGCATTCTGGATAGCGGTGTCAATGCGGAACTCGATCTCGGTGTCATCTTGGTCGGCACCAGGAGGAATGAGGCTCTCGAGCAGGGATGTCAACGTCCCTTCGATGCGATTCAGTCGTGGGTCTGCCATTGGCGGCGCGGTGGTGTCCGGCTTCACCGTGCATGACAACGAGACCTCGGCAGAGTCGTGTCTGTTGGCGGAAGTCGCACTCGAAGAGAATCACTGCATTTGTTTGTGTGTGTTTGTGTGCGCGGGGATGTCGCGTTGCGCTCGGGTTGACGTGTCTGTGGCTGTGGCTGTGGTGGCTGCCGTCGGTTGTGGCTGCGCCTAAACAATGTACCACAGTTACGTCCACAGTAACTGGGCCGAGTACGGAGTACGGAGTAGGGACTTTGGGCGATAGGTGGGTGATCACGTTTGGCGCCCCCAGGTGCTTCTTAGGTGCTTCTAAGAGCGGTTTAGTTTACGAGGTCTTACGGCTCCGGTTGTGGTCTGGCTTCAAGGCACGCCGGCTAGGCTCCGCCCCGAAAGCAGTCCATTCCCAATCTTCACAGTCCATTCCAGCTCGGTAGGCGTGGTCCAGATCAGGGTGCCACCGCCTCCAGCCATCGGTTTGCTTGCGATGCTCGAAGCGAGTCAACGCATCGATAATATGCCACCACTGTCATAGCGAGGACGCAGGTGTTGGCCACGCTCCCCACCGAAGCTTCTGAAACACGCCTCACGGATGCTCAGGCGTTTCATGCGCAGGAAATTCCGTCCCTTGACACGGTTTTGTAATCGCGCTCTTGCTTCACACGGCTTTTCTCCCCTTCGCCTCCTGTTTGGAAACACGATCTGTGACTGCCCATCACTCCAATCATCTCCACAAGCCCTGCATCAAGCCTCGGACAAGCAATCCCAAGCGAAAGGACAAGTGGATATACAGGCAGGAAGGGCAAGTTGAGCCTAGAAGACGAAGGGCGAAGCGAGATGCCCGGATGCCTCGAATTCCTTTTGTTCCAGATCGAATGCGGCTCTTGGTGATGCCGATAAGTGGTTCGATAATGCGCTCCTTCACGGGAAGCCAGCAGGTTGATGGATTGCAGCGTCCGGGTGAAATGCGTTGCGCCTACCTCGTTTGGTAGTGACAGGTCGTCCGTCTCGCACAATAAAGCCATCAGCACTTGCTGCATTGCTGACGCGCCCTCCAAGCGATCTGCGCATACCTGAACACTGCCTCCCCAGTCTGGCTTCGTTATTGTCCCGCCCTCAACTCGTTCTCGACACTCGCAATATTGCCGATGCTTCGCGCGGGAGCTGGCTTTGCCGTTGCATACCACTTACAAGTGTTCACCCTACGGACAGCATAAAGAAGCGCGATCCGCCCTAGAAATCTGAATGTCAGCACCTTTCCCAAATCACAGCTGCTTTCAGCCATGATTGGATACCTTCTTCGGCCCTATGTCCTGGCCAGCATCTTCATCGTTGTACTTGGTCTTGCGTTCTCCCGGCGGCGGCGGAATCCGAGTCTTCCAGACTTGCCGTGGCTCAACGCCAGAGAAGGCGAGTGGCTCTCGACACTGCGCGCCAGAATACGCTCAACAATCAATTACAAAGAGGCCATTCACCAAGCCTATCAACAGGTGCGTTTGTGCCTCGGGTAATGGCCTATGTGTCTCGCTAACCTCTCGCAGTATTCAAAGAAGGATCAGTCATGCATTATAGCCAAGATCAACGGCGACGAAATCATCCTGCCGGCGTCGCTAATAACATGGATCATCAATCAACCCGACACCGTCCTTAGCGTAGACGAGCCACACAAGGACTTTCTTCAGACGGACTATACCTTTGTCCACCCAGTCGTTGTGGATAAGCCCCTGCACCATGAGACCATCAGAAGTGAACTCACCCGTCAACTCGGAGCGCTCACCACCGACATTATGGATGAGTTGGCGACTGCATTCGACGACATCTGGGGCACTGACACGACCGAGTGGAAGGAAATATGTCCTTTCGAGACGATGAAGCTCATCATTGCCCGGACAAGCAACCGCGTGTTCGTGGGCCTACCGCTATGTCGGAACAAGGCCCTTCTGGAACATGGCATTGGATTCGCCTCTGCTGTCCCTATCTCCTCCGTCCTGCTGAGGCCGTTCCCTGAATTCCTGCGCCCTCTTGCTTCTCTCGTCATCACACGACCAAATCGACGTCACACAAAAGCCTTCGCGCGTCTTGTCCGACCTGAGATCGAGCGGCGCCAGAGACTGCTGGACGGCCAAAACGGCGAGCTGGAGAAGAAAATCGGCGATCCTGAACCGAATGATTTCCTGCAGTGGTCGATTCGACGAGCGAGGGATAGCCCCGACCCTTACGAACGCGACCCGGACATCATCGCCGAAAGACTCCTCGCTGTCAACTTCGCAGCCATCCACACTTCCACATTCAGCATCACAAATGCCATCTTCGACCTCGTCGCTTCCGACCCTTCCAAGCGATATCTCGAAGCCCTGCGCGAAGAAGCCTGCTCCGTCGTTGCCGCCGACAATGGCGTGTGGACAAAATCGGGCCTCGCAAAAATGTACAAGGCCGACTCGACACTGCGAGAATCTTCACGTATAGGTTCCTTCCTGGGAGCTGGACTTGCTCGCAAAGTCATGGTACCGGAGGGCATCACTGCTCCCAACGGCACCTTCTGTCCATACGGAAGCTATGTCTCCGTGCCCACAAACGGCGTGCATAACGATCCAGAGCATTACCCAGATGCAGCGACATATGATCCATTCCGCTTTTCGGTCCAGCGCGAATCATCGCCGAACGTATCTGAAAACAGCTCCGACGAGAAAGGCTCGCCCGGACACACCGCGACGGGCACAAGTCACCAACGCAACAACAGCAACTCGGATGGCTACATCAAGAAAGCAAATCTTTCCTTCGTCAGCACCTCGCCCACCTATCACCCCTTCGGCCACGGAAGGCACGCCTGCCCAGGACGTTTCTTTGCCGCCAATGAGCTCAAGTTACTGCTGGCGTATATGCTGACCAAGTATGAGTTCGAGCATTTGGATGAGCGGCCTCCCAGTAAATGGATCGGAACAAGTCTGGTCCCGCCGTTGACAGCGACTGTGAGAGTAAGGAGAAGAACGGCGTAGGGCCTTGACAGAACGAAAATGGGACAAGTGAAGGAATGAGGACGATGTGCGATATTCTGCATGGAAGCCGTTTTTGATTTCATAAAATTGTCCGCCTTTCGCCTTGCATATTGCGGCGACGGTTGGTAAGCACCGAGCCAGCTGGCCCCTCAGCAAGACGCGAACTTGGCTTTGGCAATCACCATCTCCAAGGAGTTTCCGTCATGGGAACGCGTAATCATGCTTGGGTTGATTCGTTCGGGCAACTATTGACAGATTCTCTGAGGCGATACCGAGAGTCCCAAAAACAGGTGCGTAACGGGTCGTTGGACGAAAAGTAATTACAATAGCCGCTCCTCTGGATAGAGAAGTTCACCCCTAATTGCGTGGTGAAGACCCAGGTAATACTGAGAATGGAATACGGATTTCAACTATTGTTATTCACACAGGCTACTGTAGATTGAGATGCGAGTCTACTCCTCCTCTGGACCTGCTCGGCTCTTATGGTTCAAAACCTCCACTTACAGTACCCACGTCAGGTATCCTACCGTGGATATCGCTTGGTAATCTTCGCGGCACAACTGCAAGTACGAGATCAATCTGTAGTTCCTGCTTGAGGCTTACTGGTGGCCAGCTTAATCGCTACATGATTACCACCACCATCTTCGTAGAATGCTGCGCATGTGTGGGGGCACCGTCCTCGAAACGCTCACACACTGTTCGTTTAACAACTCTGTTGGAAAGCCCTTCCTCCACTGCCACTGTGAGATACTGTAGTCCGGCGTGGTGCAGAACGGTCGAATGAGCTCTAGGGACAACGGAAACTTGCTGTGATGAGTTGAGTCCGAACCAAGCGATACATCCGAGGATGTGGTCCGATTTGCAAAACGGCGCAAGTTTCGCACCTCCAACTCTGGTGGAAAAGGGTCGACGACAGGAGAGGTTGGACTGTGCTCATCCGAGTGCATGCAATGAAAAGGGCGGAGGGGGGCGTGGCGTGGTTCAACTGGCTGCTCATACACATGCAATGTAGGACCGATCGGCCACTCGTTTGAAAGTGGTGGGTGGTTGACCTACAGTAGGTACTCGTGGTGAACGTCGTTATGTTTACCGCCACCCACCCTTCTGCCCGCCAAGTGCTCGAGAGGGGGTTCGCCAAAGTCTATCATTCACCTGTCACGAGTCCCGAAGATGTTGTGGGAGATGGAGTATGGAGCGTGCGGGTGTGTGATCGCGTTATCCTATCCGACGGCCCGAGGTGTTACTCTCGCGGCTCCTGCGTGACGGACGCCGCAGTCGATATGGGGCAGTAAGGAGACGGTACATGTCTATATACAGTACATTACATCTTGTAGCCTCCCTTGCATCTTGCACAGGCCATAACGTTGAAATGGTGCTTGGTTGAGTGGCTCTTGAGAGCTGAGAGCTATGTTTCAGCACTCGGTTGTTCACAAGCGGCTGCAGAGTACTCCGTACTGTGTACATATTGCAGACAGTACCGTGGACTCGGACTAAAGAAGCTCTGGGTGCAAGGCACGTTGCGAATTCATGCACGGCCAGTCCCCACTCCATTATTGCCCGTTAGACCCGGTCTGGTCATCTTCGTCCCCAGTATGGACGTGCAACCACCAATGTCACTCAGTACTCTGTACGGAGGAAGTCGCTGCCAAAGATTTCGATCCGGACCAATACCGGTGAGCTCGGAAGGACCGGCCTTGATAGTACGGAAACGGGGGTCCATCTATCTACCGAGGTCGCAGGGGAACGATACTCCCTAACCGTGCGAGTAGGACCAGGCATTTGAAGGGGGGTTGCAAACGTAAGCTCGCTCGGCTCTCTTGATCGCTGGTTGGATGATCTGAAGGGCGCAAAGAACGCCAAGTGCACCAGCAGACCAAAAGCTTCTTGGCTTGGAAGCCAGGCATTTTTGACTTTGGTGGCTTGAATCATGCTTAAGATGACGCTTAAGCATAAGCTAAGGTCTTCGTTGCGGGCAGGGCCCCAGATGGATCTCAGCCAAATGAGCCTTCAGAGGGCAAGGGCGCGGTTGCGGCAATCATACTCTACGCCTGGACAGCTGAACTCCCGCTGCGAGGAAGGAAACTCAGCCTGTGTCCAAGAGAAGGTGGATTTTCACGCTCCACACCGGATAGGAGACCAAGCATTCCAGGGAGAGGCGCCATCGACGCCAGGACACATGGTTACGCAAACACCGAGGCGCCCAGCAAAACCATTAACGAGTCAGAGTGGGCGGTCAGCCCGTGGGTCGTCTAGACTAAAAACACCAAGAGAATTCCAAGAGCACCAAGACCTTTGGCGTCTTGCTAGCCTCTTGCCAAGTTCTTGTCCTTATCGAGAGGCGATCTGGCCGTTCCAAAATCGTGGCTGACTGGTTAGACGAGGATTCGGGTTGATGGGTCGGTCTTGGGCCCCAGATAAGGAGGTTTCCTCGTAGCCAAGATGTGAAGACTTGTGAGATCTTAGAATAGGCAAACACTTCTTTTTTCTCCCAGGCTCTTCGTCATCCTGTACCGGGGCAGCAGTAAGCCAATCCTCTTCATCCATAAGATGAAAATTGAAGAAGTGCAGACCGCGATCGACTTCGGTGGGTGCCCGTTCCGGATGTGCCAGCCGCCAAGGACGGTCAAGGGAAATAGTTTGACTAAGAAAAATGTCCAAGGCGTTATGCCACGATCGAAATTCCGTTCTTGACTTGGACCGGCTCCTGGTTGTGGACGAAAATTGGACGCAATTTATTATTGGCTCGCAGACACGAGATACCAAGGCCACCCAAGAAATCCCAAGACCCAAGAAGCTTGTTTAATTTCCCTTCTTTTAGGCAGACGCCGCGGGACCAAGGGATTCTTGCCACAGCAGTGGACACGCCGAGCTGCATGCCTTCCTCGGGACTCGTCGAGCGACCGGCCTCTGATGCATGCCAGTACAGCACACGTCCGCCGATCGTCTCTGCCCAAACTACGTCGGTGGAATCTGCGGGATTAGAGTTACCCTCATGGTTATCGGTTTTGGGGAGTGCTGCGGGAGCACACCTGGCTCGCTTGCAGCGAGGCCGATCAATCATTCAGCGGCCCTTGGCTAGCGCTGCGGGCGCCGGGTTAAGCATAAGCCTAGTGCCCAAGCTTGACCCGCAGGGGAAGCGGGCACCTGGGATAGGCAAGGCAAAGCACCGCGGGGCCCACCACGGGGCACCAGGTCGACGCGAGTTCCTCCCACTCCTTCCTTAAGGTTTCTCAAATCGGCGGTACAAAATAACCAAAGGCTTGTCCGCCCAGAGCCGAAGTCGTAACACTCCCTTCCACAAGCCTTATTTTGCATGGCACAGACGCCCCATTCCGCGCCTCTCCTCTGTCAAAGTCTTGTTTGAATTTCCCGGCATTTCTTGTCTCCTGTCTGGTCTGTGGGACTGGGTTATTAGAGTCATTCTTGCTACAGTCCCTCCCTCTGAATACTTGCTCACGTCGAGACACTCGAGTCCCATACCCCTCACCTTCACCTTCACCTTCACCTTCACCTTCGCTCCACGTTTGGAACTTGTAAAGAAATCCTGAGAACGAGCAAATTTGTCCCCGACGTGGCGCCTAAACAGCAGGTCTAGCACGCGGGATCGCACCTTGCAGTTGACCGAGGAAGGTCGCCAGTCAGCCATAAATGTACGCGGCGAGCTGAAGTGTTTTCCACAGTCGCATTCAGCCCGCCGCAATCAACGCCGCAACGTTGAATCCACCATCCACACTCAGCTCTCCAAGGGCCGCTCTGCTGCCTCCTGTGCGCGGCTATGGAGACATACAACGGCCTGGTCCGCACCCCAACGGACGCCATCATTCTCTTCGAAGCCTGCAGAATGGGGATTCTGCCTCGAGTACAACGACGATTATCCGAGAAGGAGCGGCAGTCGATCAGATCGGGATCAGTCTTTGTCTGGGATGAAAGAGAAGCCGGCATGCGGAGGTGGACCGATGGCAAGAGCTGGAGCGCGAGCCGCGTATCAGGCAGCTTCTTGACATACCGGGAGATGGAGGGGAAACGAGGCGGAAACTCTTATTCCAACACCGCAAACCGCGGCGCAAAGACGCCCGAGGGCGGAAACGAAGCTACTTCGCAGGACGGCGACGGGGAAGAGGGCCCCGATGGGTACCGGTACAAACCTGACGGGCTTATGAAGCAGTCGTTCAGCATCACGACTTCAACTGGCCAGCATCTCCACCTGATCAGCTACTACTCGCGGTCTCATCCGACTGCCCAAGTTTTGCGGCAACCTAGTACTGATCCCAGCCTGGCCAGCATCACACCGGCCAAAGGCATGTACCCAGAATCAACCATCAACGATCAGGCATCCGTGCCTGCTGTCACCCGCTCCCCCATGCTTGGAGCGCCTGGATATGTGGTAAGTCCTGGAGCACCGGGATATCACCGACCAGGTCCGGCTTCACCACCAGCGTACCTCCCACCCGGCTACATCCCTCACCCGGCAGCTTACATCTACCCCATCAGTCCGATGCACACACCACCCCCCGGATACCACCTTCAACCCTATCCCCTCCATCCCGGCTTACCTCCGCTGGCATACGGCACGGCTCCTTATCATTCACCACACGCTCTGCATATGAGTCATGCGCCGCCATCATCTTACGACCAGCGCCCCTTGCGGAACTCCGAGTCCCGGGGTTCAGTGCCTCCGCCGCCACCTGCGAGCTCGGGGCAGGTTGCGCCAGCGTCGTATTCCATAACGCAGCCGCCGATCGCATACCAGTCTAATCCTGCGCCACCTCCCATGGCCCCGGCGCCCGAAAACCCCGTTGAGAATGCTGGTTCGGGACTACAGATCGACCCCAGACTGACAGCAACCGCGAATGGAAACGACACGCGAGCGAACGGCGTGCCTAGTAAAGCAGACGAAACCACGTCGACCGCTCAGCCTCCTGACACGACTGCAGTAAGCGCCAGCCAAGCCCCTACCATCAACGCGCTTGTCCACAACATCAACACAAATGTTCCTCCCGCAGAAAAAGCATCAGAGTCAGAAGCGGATCGACAAGGGAGCACGAGTCCGGGAGGAACGAAGAACGGCGCGCCTCCACAAGACATCCCGAGTGAGAAGTTGGGGTTCCGCGAAGACAAGAGAGCACTAAGCAAGCTGGATCGCGTGTTTGCCAAGGTCTAGACGCCGGGGAACCAATATTGCCATGCGCCTTCGGAGAAGGTCAGTTGTTATTGCATTGCGGGAAGTCATTGAAAAAAGTCAAGCGTTTCATCGCATCGAATTCGGCGCCACCGGTCTGTAGGGTTCAGAGGAGGGTCACTGCATAGTATGTGCATGAGTTACGATCTCTTATGATGGCGATATTTCTTTCAGGCAAGGTTTCATCTCTGTGCTAGCGATGAGTGGGAGGGTTGAAGGCATGGAGATTAGAGTCTGGCCACATGTGTTCCCCAAGGGCAGTCAGTATGTCTGCGATCAATTTGTACGGTTGCATCCACGAGTAGGCGAGAAGATTGAGTGGGCATACTTCCTCAGTCAACATACCAGTAGGAGCAATGCTGAAGTAGCGTTACTTCTCACCAACGTCTGATCGCCGCTCGGATTCTGAGTTTTTCATCAAGACGCCATTGCTGGACTCACGGCCGTTGGGTTCTTCGAGATGGAAGTGCCCACCTCCACGACATCGGGCCATACTATAGAGTCCGTACTACACAGTATTGCTTGTCTACGGCTTCTGCACTATAAATGCCTGGCGTAGTCTTCCGAACACAGCATGATGGTGAAGCAGACAGGGATTGGTCGGATTTGACTAAACGAATGACAGAATCAAATTATAGAGACCAAGGTATGTACCGTACCAACCACAGCGAACTTAACCAAAACGTAAGCGTCGCCGAATCGATCCTTTCAATGAGTCAGGAAGTGTTCCTCCTTCATACTTTGGAACCTCGATCAAATGTCACACCACACACGTGGCGGGACTCGTCCTCAGACTCACGGGTGATTCCCCAGTATTGCTCTCGTCCCTCTGCCTACTTTGGTGTGCAAGTCACACAATGATGATCCTCTATGGTCAGACTTCACGGCCGTGGCGGTGAAGATACATTGGACGTCGAGGAAGGTCCGATTGCTCATTGCGAGCCCTAGCTGCGTGGAGAGGAGAGCGCCGAGGACGGGTGTGCCGAACGTGAAGGCGCCTTTGGTGCCGGCGCCGTCGGGGACGATGAGGTTGAACATGTATTGAGGGCCGTCTTCGACGAGGGTCCAAGAGTCGGCTTGCGGTCAGAGGCCGGACAACGGTGTTGGCTGAGACGGTTAGGTTAGCCTAGTATTGATTTGTTTAGGCGAGAGTTCTGCTGAACGTACTGCTTCGTGGATCGCCATGCTGATACCGATGGCAAGCGCGAGTACGGCCGAGGCGCCGGCCGAGACGTGCATCGCGTCGTTGACGTATACTGTGTGCTTCAAGTTGAGTGGTCAGGAACCTCCGATAATCTTCGAATTGAGGCAGACAATCCCTTCGCGGAGTACGTGTGCGTTCTCGAATTGCTGTTCTGTTCGTGCTCTTGATGGCGATGACATGGAGCAGAAATCCGCCGCTCTCGTGTCCACGGTCGTCTTTATATCCTTCGACTCGTCGCCGCGATGAGGCTGCGGCACGAAATGATGCGCAGTGCACGCAGGGGCACAGTGCCATGGCCGCGGCCACGCTGTCTGTCCGTCCGTCAGAAGGCCAGTCACTCTCTCTGTGTATCCAAAAGAAATGCCGACTCAGAGGCTGATGCCGGACTGCTCACACACAAAGCTTACCAGGCTGTCGGTTCGCGAGAGTCGAACAGGACATTTCCACAGGTCTTGTCCCTCACGGTCCGACCTTGGGTTTATATCCCGGTGTGCATGCCCACGCCCATGCCCAGGTGCCAGCGACCCCCGGCCGAAGGGGGCAACATCAAATCACCGTGGGCTCGTGCGATCACGGAACTTTCCCGATGGAGTAGGTGCAAAATGGCCCTCACGAGTATCACGTAGACTAAGCTGCATAAAGCAAGCAACCTCGCCAGTGGAATCCCAATTACTGTATGTGGAAAGTGTTACTCACCCACCGGTTGGCGTTCAACCATAGTCCGAACTGAGAAAGAGACCAGGGATCGGTTCTGAAGCACCACGTACGTACCTTGCACCTGCTGTTTTCGAGCCCACCTATCCCGTCAGGTTGCGCTGCGATGGATTCAGTGACACGAAGCATGAGCCATGGAGAAGGGATCATCTGGTTCTCCGCCGTATTGCGGTATCCGGAGGGCATGGTCCTTGATCTGTGCTCTCCGAAGCTCCTCATGCATTGGTGCTCAGCGGGAGGCTTCTGGAGTTCTATACTCACGGGCACGGTCGGTTATCTGTTCCATCTCAGCTGATGGTCGTATGTTGAGAATCACGGCTACACACTCGAAGATAAGTTCTCGTCTTCACCCACTGCTCCAGCCGTACACGCTGGGATGCCAGGGAGTGGGCCGCATGCCCGCAGAAAGTAGAGCTCCAGAACATTCCCTTTGGTTGATATTCGTTCGGCCTCGGATGCAGTGCCGTCATTGCCGCTACAGCCCCGCGAACTCTAGCAAAGCGTCGACTGTCCCAGCTTCCTTGGACAGACACTTGGGGCAGAGCCATCGAGAGCTTGATTGTGGCTGGTGAGGCTGTGGTTGCCCCTGCAGGCCTCGCCAGCACCCGGAGCCAATGTCGTACGGCGCGACGAGACGGTTGTCCCAATTCCCATGCAGGGCCTCTTCTCAACCCATCGGGTAAAGACTCAGTCCTGGATCGAGGCGACTGCCTGACCAGTCTACAGGAGGATCTGGGCGATCCAAAATGCGCTCTTGGTGGTCGGCGGATATCGAAGGCGATCAATTTTGGCCTTATTCATCAATGGCTCGCCGATGGCTCCCAGTTACATCCCATCACTTGCACGCGAATGTGGAATGCAAAACAACCACCTCCTGTGTGCGGCGAGGTCCATTCTTGCTCCGTTCCGACACTAGAGCAACGAGGGGTCATTGAATGCTCAGTTTCTCGTAATCGAAGGCATTACACTGACGTTTCGTGTTGGTTGTTCCGATACTCGTGGCTACGATGCTGATGGATATGTCTACTATGACCAGGCGATTCAGACATCTGGCGACGACGGTTTGTATTTAATCCATTGTCTCCTGCATGCTGTTGTCTATGACCAAGAGCTCGAGCGTCTCTCTGCAGTCAATGCGCCCCATTCGTCATTGCTCCTAGGCCGACAGCGGCACAGGGCTGGGTATGCTTTACCTTGATGACACCAAAGGCTTGGACGGAAGAGAGAGAAGCAAATGCAAATCAGGACGAACTGAATACTAAAGGGGGAGGGCACATGGTGGTGGCCACTGACTGGGATCAGAGTACCGGGAGGCGGAGCTTCGACGAAAGAATCATGACCCGCGGGACGATTATGCATTTATTGGTACTTGAAGAGGACGTATCCAGAGCCATGCCCGCACTGAGTTAGACACCATGAGTGCATAGCTAATGTACTCGCTGAGCCATGTCAGTGATACTGTCGCATAGAGAGAATGGGCTCGGAAGAATCTTTTGCCGTTCCGCGCCTGATCGCGTCGCTTTGCTCAGATCGCGCGGAACTTTTTCGACATCGCCGTGAACATCCTCGCCGGCCTGCTGCTACTGACCCGTGTGTGCGTGATGCTATGGCGTACTTTGAAGTCGCCGCTGCGTCTCACAGACGAATGCCTTCCTCGTCCTCTGTACCTGAGGTTGTCCTTTCACCGAACTCAAATTTCCGTTCGATCGGTGGGCGTCCGAAGCCTTCATGACCAGAAGACAGCGGACACAACATCGAGGCCGCCAACCGTCCCTCATGAGAGACTGATAGCAGGACCCGTAAATGGCGACGGAGGCCAGCTCGACAAGTCAATCAGAGTAACGGGCCTTGTTCGCAGCATCAGGAAACAAAAGAAGGTCGCTTTTGCTCGGATCGGCGATGGCTCAACACTGGCGAACATCCAAGCTGTGTTTCCAGATCCGCAGCTAGCAAAGGAGTACGTGAGATGCGATTCAAAGAGCATGGGAAACATCTGACGTGCGGGTTCAGCATAACGAACGGAGCATATGTCGCGCTCATTGGTAAATGGATCCCGTCTCAAGGAGCCGGGCAGAGCCACGAATTGAGGGTTGAGGATATCGAGACAATAGGCGAAGGCAATACCTCTGTATGTCTATAGCCTTTTGAACTCCCGGCTCGTAGGGGCGCGGTCTGGTTTCTTACTTGCGACGATTAGGACAATCCCATCCAGAAACAGTCCATGTCGACGGATTTCCTTCGAACCGTGCCCCATCTACGTATGCGCACCGCGTTCCACTCGCTAGTCAACCGGACTCGAAGCCACCTGATCTCTTCCATCAGCTCCTTCTTCTCCCACGCCCGAAACCCAGTCTATCAAGTGCTGCCGCCTCTCATCACCTCCTCGGACTGCGAAGGCGCCGGCGAGGCTTTCACCATCTCGCCACAGAGTCATGGCCAAACGCCCGGGGCAAGTGAGGCAGCGTCCAAGGAGCAGCAGAGGTTGTACTTCCGGGAGCCGAAATACTTGACCGTCTCGTCACAGTTGCATCTCGAGGCGCATGCCGCCGAGCAAGGGGCCGTCTTCGCATTCTCGCCGACATTCCGCGCCGAAGAGAGCGACACGCCCCGACATCTTTCCGAGTTTTACATGCTCGAGGCCGAGTATCGACACGTGTCGTTCGAGGGGCTGATTGCACGGGTGGAAAATCTCGTGAAACACCTGGTGCATTCTCTCCAGTCCCACCAGACGGGCAAGGAGCTCCTCGAATACTACGCGGATCAGAAGCATCGATCCACCGACGCAGAGTTTGTCGATCTAGCCGTCCGATGGAAGAAACTGCTCGGCCACTGGCACGTCCTGGACTACACGTCGGTCATGGTCGCACTCGAGAAAGCGTACGAGTCGAGCAACGGAGAGCTGTTCGTCCATCGACCTCGTTGGGGCCAGGGATTACAACTCGAACATGAACGCTGGGTAGTGGCCAACCTTGCAGACGACCAGCCGGTGTTTGTGACGCATTACCCCAAGGCCGTCAAGCCGTTCTATATGCTTCCTTCCTCCGCGATTACACATGCAGAAAACACAGCCGGAGATCCCAGTCGGGAAACAGTTGCGTGCTTCGACCTTCTCCTTCCATTCGGGTACTGCGAGACCGTCGGCGGGAGCTTGAGGGAGCACAGGCTAGAGCAGCTCATTCAATCCATGCGTGAAAAGGGACTCTTGAAGCAAGTGGAAACGACATCAGGCAGCAATGACAACGGGGACGGCAACGGAAATGGAAATGGAAATGGCAACGGCAACGGAAATGGCTATCCATTCCTTCAACCCGGAGAAAGCCTGGGCAACTTGAAGTGGTATGCAGACCTCCGACGATTTGGAAGCAGTCCGCACGGAGGCTACGGGCTGGGATTTGATCGCCTAGTCGCGTACTTGACGGGCGTCAATAACTTGCGCGAGGTGGTCCCCTTTCCTAGGACATGGGGAAGAGCGGACTGCTGATCCCCGAGTACTGTAAATCCTGCCGGCGTGGGTATCTGTTCTGGGCCATGGCGGGAGATGGCGACGCTGAGGAAACAGGCCGCTAGAATACTAAACACGGATCCACCCAAGCAGGTCGGTCGGTATGTATTCCAAGAACAGGCTGAACAGGTTGCAGCTTTATGTCTCAATTACACAGCCCGGTTTTCGTGAGGGTGTAATGCATTTAATGACCTTTTGACCGTTTTCTCATGCATCACCGCAGCCTTGGTGGCGGCTGTAAGGGGATGGGGGACAACTTTACTCGAAAATGCCACAATCACCGTTCCTCGCCAGGCACGAGGTCCGGGAGGGTGTGGAGCGTGTGGAAAACTCTGCAGGGCCTGGCTAGGGTTACTGTAACAACGACAATGCGAGAGCCCTGACGGGGTTAATGTTGATGCCAGGGATAGGTAGCGTGGTAGCATGGATGAATATCCGTCCAATACTTCAATAGAGGCAGGGAGGTCGTGTCTGGATAGTTCTATCTTTTTTCTGGCGTCGTCCTACGTGACACTTGTGCATTTCGACGCAAAATCTCGACGAGGTGCCAGGTCCGGCGCTGTTCAGCTCGCCCAGCTCTTGTCGGCTGCCCGGATGATCTTGCGTAGCGAGGGCATCGATCTCGAGTTCGAGTGTATTGCTCGAGGTCGAGGCGAGGCGTGTGTTGCATAGGGGAAAGTGTAAGCAGGAGAACCAGCACCGGCACCAGCACCAGCACCAGCAGCACTAGCAAGCTAGGCGACGTGAGCTTCAAGTTGACTATACTTTCCCGTGTTGGTCGGTGAAAGACACGTCCACTGCGCGAGACTGGACAGTACGGACAAGCTGAGGTCTGGGTTCTGGTTCGCCCGGGTAAGACCGACGAGAAATGTACTGTGTATGCCGAAGTATTCTATTGCTGTCGTGGCGGAGACTGTACCTCTTGTGCATGGGGAGGGAGGCGACAGAGACAGAGACAGACGCAGAGATGGATGTATCCGTCCACACACATGTAGTATTTCCATAGCACGACGTGCACGGCATGGCATCTTGTATTGTAGAAGGTTCCCTGCGCTTGTTCTTGTTCTACATTGCACATCCCACCAACCCCATATATATCATATCTACTAATCCTTCTTGCTTCCATCCTGACTCTGTCTCTGACGCGTCCCGACATCCACCTCCTCCGCATGACTCACCGCCACGACCTTTTCATCGTCTCCACCCCCAAGCTTGCCTCTTAGCACGTCGTTCTCCACATCCTCACGCAAATGGCAGACGTATTTGCGGAAATTGCGCACCGACACGCGGTTCAGGAACATTTCGTCGAGTTCTTCCAGGGAGCGGCCTTTCATTTCTACAGCGGGAGTCAGTTTACCGGCTGGACTGACGCGGTCTGATAACGACAACGCCGTCCTCAATACTCAGGGGCCGGACTGTGCTGACTTACCTGGCATGAAAAAGAAAAAGAATATGACACAGGCGAAGTTGCTGCCCGCCCAGATGTAGCCATATTGGGCGCCCTAAGATGGAAGAAGTCTGTCAGTTCCTGCCACAGCATAGCCATTTCGACAGGGGCATAAAGGGGGAACAAATGGTGATCTTTGTTTGCCCTCTACATGATTCCTGCTTACCAAGCCTAATTCCGCGGGATTGATGAAATAGGGCGAGCAGAAGCTCACAAGCCACGCCAGGAGGTATCCTATCGCTGTGGCGCTGCCGACGGTCCAGGCTCTCAGGCGCGTACTGACGACCTCGGTGGCCACGGGGTACGAAGCACCACCGACGCAGCCGTTGTAGAAGAACTTGAACAGCGCGATGAACGCAGTGAGCGTATTCGCCTGGACCCGTGGGGAGACGCCAGCGCTGGCGGTGACGGCGGGTAACAGCTGGCACAGGCCGCAGGCCGTGGCGCCGATAATGAGGATGGCGCGGCGGCCTACCAGATGGCGCATGGCGAACATGCCGACGTTGACGCCGATGAAGCCGACGCAGCTGGTCATGATGGTGTACTCGAACGGCTTGGTCACGCCACCTTGTTGGAGGAAGTATGTCTGGTAGGCGATCAGGAACCAGATGCCCGACGCAGACTGGCAGGCGATCATGCAGTAGCAGAGGATGGTGCGGCGGAGGTCGGTCCCTGATTGGGCAGAAAATATGTCAGTCAGTGAGGGGGAACTGGCAAAATCAGGTCAAGGAAAAACGTGCCTCTAAACATGTCGATCCAGCCGACGCTCTTGGCCGTCTTCTTCTCCTCTTCCATGCCTCGTACCATCTCGGCCCACTCGTATTCTAGCTCTTCGGCCGTCAAGGCAGAGCCGCGCAATTGGATCAAGGACCTCTTCGCCTCGGCGTCTCTGCCTTGGTGGAGCAAGAACCGGGGACTCTCGGGCACGAAGAACAGTCCGATGGCCAGGATGGTCGGCACGATGTACAGACAGCCCAGGGGGATTTGGTAGCACGACTTGTCCATCCGTCGCTTCGTAAAGTTGTTGACCGTGGCGCCGAGGATGGAGCCAATGTTGACCCAGTAGGCAAACAGCGCGACGATCACGCCGCGGAGATGCGCCGGCGCGGCCTCGGACGTGTAGACATTGGAAAATGTCACGAGAAATCCGTTGGCGATGCCCAGGAGCAGGCGGCCGAAGTAGATGGCGCCCTTGGACGTCGTGGCGATTTGAAGGGCGACGGCGACGGCGTTCAACACACAAGCCAGCCAGATGGCGTGCTTGCGGCCAAAGAACGCACCAAAGGAACCTGCCAGCAGAGAGGACAGAAATGAGCCCAAGGTGAGGAGGGAGCTGATGAGTTGTTGGAAGGTCGGATCGATGCTGTAGCCGATTGGGCTCTGAGGGTCCTCGTATCCGAACACTTTTAAGAATCCGGGCATTGCTTGGAGGCCTACTTAAATGTGAGAATCTCGACCCAAACGGAATTCCACCCTTTAACGCACCTCCAACAGCAGCCGTGTCAAAGCCGTACTGCGTGTTAGCGATTGAGACAATGCAGCAAATGAAGAGACATTTCCTGTTAGCCCAAAGGCTAGAGTCTTTCGATCCGAACATCGTGCGTGTCAAGACTTGGTTACGGATGACACTTGTCAAAGTAAGAAGAAAGCAAACGGGAGTACGTAGGCTCGGTGAAGCGGAAACCAGAGTCCAAGATCTTCTTTATGTTTGCAGAGCCACAGAGTGGTCTGCAGGTCTTGATGCGATGGGTGAATCCCACAATTGCATGGCATTCGGCGATTCTCCTTCCCCTGCCAGAAGTCGAGTAGCTGCGCGTAGGGAAAGTCCCACATCACAAAGATGAGATATGGGGCCCCGGCATATATCTAGGAGATGTCCTTTCGACTCGGATGGCATACCGAGTCAATGAATGGCCGGATTTTGCAGATAGGTCGCGGTCTAAGAATGGCTTGGCTTGGCTTTCCGGGCGCGTGGCTTGGAGACCGGTATCAGGCCGATAACCCCATATATGCGCTCGCTGGCCGGCGGCCGCATTGTCTCCTGCATTCGCCAAGGAGGAGACGAGTCGAAATACAAAAGAAGAGCGTGTGGGGTTATGATGCCTGTTCTTTGGGATTGCGCATCCTACCATGGCGAGAGACGCGGAGAAAATCGAGCAGCCAAATCGATATCGCCTTGACAAAAGCAATGTCTGTCACTTGTCCTTTTGCAAGCGAGAGCTCGGCCTTCTTTGCCAAAATGCGGGGTGACTGCGTGAGGTAGTAACGGCGCAGGGAGGACAAGCGCACGGGTGGGAGGTTGGTGGTTAAGGAGTCCAAGAAGCGGAATGACAGGAGATGACAGGGATATGCTCTTGGCGCCAAGTTCGGTATTTCATGTATCACCGCAGTGCTCCGAGCCAACAGACAGCGTTCCGTGGGTCTCTGCCCCATTTTTGACTGGGGTTGTACTCGTATGAGTACGGAGGGGAGTCGACCTCGAACGTGGACGACTTTGAACAGCATGAGTTGCAGTTTCCGGCATATCAGGTGATACAGTGCCAAGCCCGACGCACGTGATGCCACCATGTCTGCTACGTCCGTTTAAATTTGGCTCAGCGTATCTATTTCACTTTCCTCTCACACTCTCTCAATGACCCTCAGTGGTTCAATCGGTCACTTCTACGCAGCACACGCGTCCCTACTGCAAATATGGAATCAAGCAGTCAAAGTCCTACTGCGCAATTGCCATTGTTGCTTCTCCCGTCATGTTACGACGGCACCGAGCTCATGGACCCCCTGCATGAGCTCCAGCTTCGCCTAATGCTCAGGCGGGCAGGGCATGATGGCGCTGGCACAAAGGTTTGAACACTGATGCGAGTCATCCTTCCCGGGGTCAAAGCCACGCTCGACTAGAAACATCTGATTGATTCCGCTACGAGGCTGACATTCCGCCCATGTCGTGTTTATCATTCCAGTCGCGTTCAAGGTCTCACACGGACCACCGAGTTCTCCGTATTCATCGCGATGTACTCGAATCTGCTCTTATCATTACTGTTACGGCACTTTGAGTCTAAGGTAAGGAATCAACCGGTAAAAGGGCCCAAACAATACGATGTGGAAGGTCTTGACTAGTGCTGCCGTAGCCTTGCAGCTGGTGACGCCGGTCGTTGGATATGGCACGACAATCTCCATTGGCGTCAGCTATTGTCCTGCCGGCTATCCGAGTTCCAGTACAACTAGCAGTACCGCCACCAGCGCCTCCACAACACCTAGGTACGATCTATTCTGCAAGCGCAGCGACGAAACTGACACACAATATAGCATCACCCCTGGAGAGCCAGTTATTCTCGCCTTTACGACGAATGGCAACGCTGAGTACCTCAGAGCCGATGGAACAATTACCAACGACTCTTCGCAAGCCGCAGATTTCTCCGTCAATATTTTTGGGCAGTTGATGGCTGGCGACGGTTATGTGTCCACATCTGGAGATGTTGCTTTCCAGCTATTCGCAGTTTCGGCTGACACACCGGGAATGAAAACAGCTTCGCGGATCTTTACCCAATTCCTTATCAACCTCGACGGGACTCTGGCGTGGATCAATGATGCATTTGTTGGTGGGCGAGTGATCTTCTGTGTTTCTGGCTCTACAATGGTGGTAGCATTCAACGGAGCGGCACCACCAGGTTGCGCGGTCATTCAGTTGGGCGTTATCTTTGCGGTGGATGTCACCCCGCCTGCCGCCTCTTCGACGACAAGCTTGCCACAATCTACATCAGGCAATATGCCTAGTATGTCGTCAAACCTGTCGCCGCCGAACAGTTCTGGATTTCCAACCACCACAGTTTCACCACCAGGAACAACAATCACTGTTTCGACTACTCCTTCCATCCCAGAGTTATCCAGCCCTACTCCGGAGTCATCGACACCACAGGCTCCTCCATCCAGTGTGACAAGCTGCCTACCATATGCCGGACCTTCCTCGAGCTCCGATGCACCCTCGACATCTGCAAGTGGTACTGCATATCCTGCGCCGACAACGACGGGTACTCCAAATTGTTACGATCGCTCTCCATTTGATGGCACTGTCAATGACAATTACCTGATCCTGTGTGATACGGATCTCCCAGGATATGATCTCGATGCTGTGCCCGCTTCGGATATGGCAGAATGCGTCGACGCGTGCAGGTCCTACGTCCCTACTTCGCAAGCCCAGTGTGTGGCCATAGAATTTGACATCGTAAGTTTGCGCTGGCTTGTATTGGTCCATGGCTGACAATTCTTTCAGCTCGAGAGTGGGAATCCATGCCATCTCAAATACTCTATCCCTACAGTAAATAGAGGAGCGAATGCTTTCTCCCAGGCCGCAATCGTTGTCAACGAGCCGTATGCCCCTGAGATCATCTTCTCTGGCACTGAGAGCAGTACTAGGCCAAGTCCAAGCGCAGTAGCATCATCCACCACAGTTGGTCCCCCTCCTCCGGCGTCTACAGTGTCCACAACCCCAAACGGCGCAACCTCTCCTTCCACCTCGACTGTACAGGGGCCCAGCAACCCGACTACTGGCATGACTATTTCCCCGGTTTCACCGAGTACGCAACAGAGTACCCTGTTCAGCAGTGGCGGAGGCCTGCAAAGCAGTCAGCCAGCTATGGCGTCGACAACAGCGGGATTGCCTAGTTCTGGTGGTGCTGCAACCTCGTCCCCTGGTGGAATTTCGACCGCCCAACAGCAACCAAGCACGATGTCGACTTCAAGAAATTCCGCCATTTCTTCTCCCAGTCCCGTGACCTCGTCGCCTGCGATAAATCCGACTAGCTCTTCTCCCACTGTAAATCCAGCCACTTCTTCTCCTGGTTCTAGCCCGGCCTCCTCATCAGCCACACCAGCCGGTAGCAACCCTGCATCGACATCGCGGCCAGCCACCTCAAGTCCAGCTACGTCGAGTCAGGCAACCTCAAGGTCGAGTACGCCGCTTGTCAGCACACTGACAACCACATCATCACGCACGACTGCCGACATTGCGCCAACAGCCGTGGTGCCTTATTGTTCTGCCACACCGACCACGACTGACCTTTGTCCCACGTATAATCATCAGGGTTTGAATGTCAACAGCGACGGCTATTGCTATGAAGTTGAATGTGCTACTGTACTACAGGGTACCGTCCTCATTGGAAATTCAACCACGGAAACATCAATGAAGAATTGTATTGGCGAATGTACAAACTACAATGTTGCGCTGCCATTTGGATGTGTGGGTGTCAGTTACCTTGGCACATTGGCGGGGACAGGCCCTAATTGCTTTCTCATGTCTGCCATCACGGGCACCGCAGCCAATGCGAATGTGAACAGTGGTCGTTTGCTCTACGCTGGCTATCCTTCGATCAGCGACCCAACCTACCCACTACCGAGCAGCACTACGAGCCAGACTGCTCTGACTTCGACTATCTCAATGTCTGCTGTGCCTGCTTCGACTGTGACAACTTCGGCAGCATCCACAACCTCATATGTTCCCACTACTTGTCCAGCCGCTCCTACAGATGCATCGACAATCTGTCCAGGCAATTCTCCTCTATGCTACCAATACGATTTCCTGGGTAATTCGGCAAACTACGAGATTGAATGCTCTACTCAATTTACAGGGTCGACGTCGCAGGCTCTGCTGACATTTGATTTGAACGACTGCATCAATCAATGTCAGTATGCGAATGTTCTCAGAGCCAACAGTTGCCTGGGCGTGACTTTCATGGAAACGCCAGTTGGTCAAGGGACGACCAACAACTGCCTTCCATTTTCTTGCATCACCTGTGGCACACGCGGCAACGCTACATTCAGCAGCGCCCGGTTGCTCTACGCAGGCTATCTTCGGATCACCGATTATACTGACCCGAGCTTCTTGTGTGGCAGCTCCGCAACTTCATCATCGGCGACGTCCTCAAATCCAGCAGCCCAAGCGACACCCAACCCCGTCACAACACAGTCATCGACGACCACAACTCGGGCTCAAGCCGCTGCAACAACTTCGGCGAGTCCGGTCAATGATCTTTCTCAAGCAACATCAAATAACTTTCCGCTGGCTTACCCTCAAGACCCGATCTGCGACAACAACCTTCGTTCCAAGTATTATGGTAAGTTTCATTCTAGGTTGGATGGGACACAGAAGCTAATATAAGTTGCTCCAGGCGGCCAAATACAGGTGAATCCGGTACAGGGTCGTATTTATGACATCGAGTGCGCAGTAAGTTGACTGCCAGCGTCAGTGCGACAGGAGATATACTGATAAAGCATGATTAGTCTGATTACACGAACCCTGGCAACAATCCCTTCGGCGCAACTACTCAACCAACCTACAACAGCTGTGCCAACCAATGCGACGTTGCCGCCGCGCAAAGCACCACCTGCGCCGCTTTCTCCTGGTCCGCCTCATCTGGCCTCTGCACTCTCTTTGGCCGTGTCAGCAACGGTGTTCAACTCACCACCAACATGACACAGACTAACGGCGTGCACTCAGGCCGCTTGCTCACCCCTATAGGCAGCCCAACCACATCGCAACCTTTGCAACTGTACCTCGCTCGACCAATTCCCTTCCAGGTGGGCCCCATATCGTCAGGCTCTCAGACAGCGCGCGACTATCCAGGTGGTACCAATACGTACTTCAATGGCTGGAGCGACACCAACCACGCCACGTTGCTGGACCTCTCGACCGTGCTACCTGGATACACGTGGCGCATCTTCGGTCAATCGACCACCACACTCTGGGTGACGGCAAATTTCTGGTTCACAAACACAAATCTCGCCGTCACGTCATCGACGCAGAACACTTGGTCTACGCTGTCTCGCAATAGCGATTCTTCTCCTCTGGCCTTCCCGGCTGGTAATCTTCCAGGCTACACACTAGCCCCATTCTGGTCATACGGTCACATCATCGGCGCCTCCCAGCAGGGCATATACTACCAAATCGACCTGATCTCGTCGGGCCGCTACGGAATCAGCATCGAATGGTTTTTCTCCCATTACGGCCAAGACAACAACGTCTTCCACGCCGTAACGACATACGATACCGGCCTGCCTGGCGTGTGGTCAACCTACTTCTTCAGCGCGGGGGCTACCTCTGGGGCGTTTGAAGACCAAGGCTTGAGACAGACGGCCGGTGGGCAAGGCGATCCGAGTATTCAGAGCCAGTATTTCACCTACTGCGCAGGCGTCCAGGATTGTGTGTTGCCGGGAGCCAAGATGAAGATGGACACCACCCAGCTGAATAACATGGGTGCGGTGATGAATTACACGGCCGCGCTGTTCAACCCCGCGACTTATCAAGTGGGCACCTGGACTTGGAACACGAAGCCGTGCTGCTGAGAAACGAGACCATCACGGGGAATGATTCGAGGATGCTGGATTGTTGTCTTTGTTGAACCTCGGCTTCACTTTGTCGGATTGATTCCTGACATAGCATAGCGGAAGCAGTTGTTCAGCCTGTAGTGATAGATATCGTGCTTCCGAGTCCACCAGGGTTAGACCAAGTAAGGTATGCGGATATTTGCTGGCCGAGTTAGCCTTCTGATAGCCATTTATTCTCTCTCGCTAGCCTGAACTTGCAAACCACGTAACAGTTAATGTCTTGCCCTCGAGACGCCAAGTTCGGCACCTCCAAGGCTCGGTAAGTAGACTGCAAGTACTGTGAGTATTCAGGGCAGGTTGGAACGTGGGGTTCGGCATCTGGCCCGTGGGGAACCAGGGCTCCTACCGAGCTAGTTACAGTAGCTACCAGTTAGCTGCCGACCGGACGGAGTATGTACACTGGGCAGCGGGAGACTTTTGAATGCTTCCATCGGCCGGAAACAACCTCGGCAACCAACGTGCCAGGCGCGCCAGAGTAAGATGGTCGACGCGAGCAACGCTGACACTGAATACATGCTCTCCGCCCATCGTAGAACTCAATCTATCAACACTGTGTTCTGTAGCATCAGACCAGAATTCTACTACCGGCCTCGCCTCATCACCGTGAAGTCGACAACATCTGCGAATACCGCGACGACTATCCCAACAGCGACAAGACAAACAGACAGTCAATCCTAGACGGTCGTCCACAGCCACAGTACTCCTTACTCTGTATCGAGCCCTAAGCGGTTCATCCACAACACCATGCCGATGCCGACCGACCAGTTCGGCAGTCCGCTCCCCCGTGTGAAACCCGCGTGGTGCGTTTAATTATTGCGGCTTCCTGAGGAATCGAATCATCGCCACGTTTCACGCAGCCCCAAATGTTACTGTTACTGTTACTGTATCTGTATCTGGTATTAGGCCTGCTGATAACGTGAGCCCACCTTCTGTAGGTATACCGGCCGTCCATCGCCATACTACAAGGACTCGCATCGCCGTCTACGTGACGTGGTGAGGAAATGGGTCGAAGAGGTACGTACGTACATATGCACGCTCGCACGCCGCACGTCGCGCCCATATGCAGCTTCCCCATCCCTCGCTGTTCACGAGGAGACGACGCAAGATGAAGATCTACGTTTCTGTTCCGCTCAGCAACTGACTCGCTCGGACACCTGCAGAACGTTCGCAGCGAAGAATGGGAAGCCGCAGGCGAGGTTCCCAAGGAAGTGTATGCGAAATGCGCCGCGGACGGTCTCCTGATGCCCATTGCCGCGGGGCGGACGATCCCGCCGGAATGCGCGGGCAAGTATCCCTCATCGGGGGCATCCACCTGGCGGCTAATGGTGATCATGCATTGGACCGTGGAAGAGCCTGCTCGTGGAGTGGCTTCCGATGCCTTCGGTCCACCAGACACCCAACCAGAGGCGACTTCTTCCGCAACGGATTGCTGCCAGCTTCAGTCCAAGCTCGTGCGGGTTGCTCGTTCCTCGGTTAGCGCCGTAAGCCGCACTAAAGTAGTCTGTCTCGGGTGAACTTGTCCGACCAAGGTGTCAGACGATTGGTCGGACGGCCATGCCTCGGTGAACGAGGAGCTCGAACGGGGTCGATGGCAGAACGAGAGGTATCGAACTGGGGTCCGTACAGTCATGTCTTGCCAAGATTACCCTTGCCGCGAGTCGTGCTCTCATGCATTCTCCCGGTGATCCCGAGGCACCAGACTCGACCTGGTCGGACGAATACAGGATCCTCCCTTTGCAGACGAAGCTTGGTCGCGCTGCGTCCCTGATCAGAAACGTCTTGGAGGAGGGTTGAACTGACCTGTGTGTCTGTCTCGTCTCCCTGACATCGCTCGGAGGAGTCGCGCGGTGCTGGCTGGTCCCGCAGACTCTTTCTCCCTCTGCGGGGCAGGGCGGATGGTCTGGCCGGCAAGAACACTCGTTCGTTCGTCAGCATCCTGTGGGAAAGCGCGCTGCGACCCGGCGGTTGCATGGCCTGGTTCGCCCCAAGGTGGAAACCTTGTTGGCACGAGTATACGCACTAACGACCAAGTGTAAAAGCTTTCCCTGAGGAGGAGAGTCCAGCGAGGAACGGCAGAGATCACTCCCTTCAATGCGTCCGGGAACACTCCTGGCCGGGCGATCGTGAGCAAACGGCGCCGGGGACATGTCCTGGTCGTGGTTAGCGGTGCACAATGCAAACACTACGGGAGATCTGGTCTCGCACCATGGGAGGTCTCGTTTCGCACCGATTGCTCCCGCAGAGCAAGTCGGGGATCATCAGAGGCATGCCATTGGCGGGTGGACAGATGACGGAGATTGTGGGCAATGGAAGGCGCAGCTACGATGAATATTCTTCAGCGGTTCGAGGGCCCTTGGACAACGGCCCATCCTGCTCAAATCATCAGCCACTCGAGGACGCCCCGCCTCCGGTCGAAAGCAGATGTCGTCGACGCGCCACGCAGTCCGTCCTTGTCGAACGACACCATATCGGTAGGAACGACCCCTCGCCCCGAGGTCCAGGTGGGTCTCGTGAAGCGAGTCCTGTCGTAACGCCTGTCGCCGATGTGGAACCAGAGTCACCGGCGTCCTGCAACGAATGTACAGATTTCTACCCGATGAGGCAGGCTCCCTGTTGGGTCGGTCCTCATTTTTCACGGGAGCCATGTCGGGCGAATCACCCACGCCTCTCGGTTGGGATCGAGAGCCGGGGGAAAGCGTGCCTGCATCCCAGTAACCACCCCAGGGAGCTCCAGGACGAGATGAAGGTCCTTCCGATCATGATTCGGCCTCAGGTTCGGTCCCGGAGGGAGGTTAACCTTTATATCTGTTCTGCCCCTGGGTTGAAGCCACGCCTGCCAGCATCTCCGTCGTTTCCCCCTTCAACGTCGGAACGAGACGCTCTCGCTGGCTCGGTCGCGCCGCGAGCATGGAGTTCGAATGGCAGCCGAAACAGCTTCAGATTCTAGAAGATGCTATGAAGAAGCACATCAAGGTGACGAAATCCTGTCTCGAAGCCCAGCGGCAGCTGGATGCAGCCAACTTGACGGTGCCGTGGAGAGAGATCCGAAGGAAAAATGCGGAAATCCGACAACAGGAGCATCTAAAACGAACCGCAGAAAAGCGACCGCGAGATCCCCTTCAATACGGTCAGTACCAGCTCCGTGGCCACGGTGCCACCACGTTTGGCGCCTTATCCCCTCCGCCCCATCTCGCCGGCACAGTGATTCCGAACGTCGAACGACCAACACAGCGTGTCGCCCAGGACGCTGCTGTTCACGTTCCTACCCCGCCCCTCCCTCCGTCAGCCAGCCTGCAGGGGGCCGGTCAGGGCGGGCTCGGGGACTGGGGTGGTCCAGACGTCGCGGCTACATACGTCGACGCTCACGCATCCGCCAACGTGTCTGAGTGAGTTCCCCCTACCAGGGCGGCAGCCGCTCTTCGGGGACGAAGGAAGAACAAGACACCACTAACGCCGCACGGGTAGGGTCGAGCATTCCGGCACCGTGGGCTGGCAGGTGAACTCACCCCCGGGGATGCCTCCCATGACCTTTGATTTTAGTGATTATCTCCAGTTGTTGCCGCTACAGAATATGGAGAGTCACCGGGTCTCGAGCTTCTCGATTCAGACACCAATTCCACGGTCGACGGAGCTGATGGATTAGTCTGGGGCGGCCCCGACCCCGACGGCGGCATCAGCAGCATCAGCGGCATCATTGTCTACAGCGTCAGCCTCAATACCCTCATCACTACAATGTTCCTCCCAACCACAAACGACCACGCGGGACATCTCTCCACCCACCACGACGAAGGACAACGGCCCGTCATCTTCACCGACGTTGCCGTCTCGACCCTTGGCTTTACCGATTGTCGGCTACCAGTTGCAACGGGACCATGACGAGTTGAGATACCAGCTGTCCACCTACCGCCTTGAAAAAGCCCGAGAGGAACAGAAGCGGCGGAATCGAATCTCCGCCGTAACCAACAAGAGGTGCAGCCACCATACCTCCAAGCCCATCGCCATGTCACACTGCGGCGTTCTCATCTACGACAAAGACATTACGGCCCTTAGGTATAATCCGCACACCTTAAAGGACGAGTTGTACTTTTAGAGCGGAGATGTCGCTGGTGCCACAACCCCACCTTCTCGGGGTTCCAGAAACTCCCGGGAGGGTACCTGGATCTCGACATTAGATCAGCCTAGGATATGAAGAGACAGTGTTAGGAGGCAAGAAGAGGATTTCCGCACGCCGTGGGTCGCCATCGCCGTACTAGACTTTTTGATCACAACGACGATAGACGGGGGTGCAGGCGGGCCGGCAGGCCGTTAGGCCGGCAGTCCTGATCCCTCTCCCGGGCGAGGGACGGAAGCCGCCAGATCTTTGGCTTCTCTTGGCGTAGGATGGACTTTGTATGGATTGAGCGAGAAATGAAGGGGTCAAATCAATATCCGAGGCTTTGGCCGCAGGCACAGCCCTGCCGGAGATGGCGTCATAGGCGCTGCAGTGTCAGCCGGCACACTGGGGCGACTTCTAATCACGCGCGGCCCTCGTTACCGCGATGCATCGCCCGGCGATCAGGTGATGGTGCGGCCCTGCTAAGTGGGGAAAGGGCGTTTCACACCCGTAAAGTCGCAGTAATACCCATCGATCGTCCTGCTCTCATCGTTCCATTCTGATTCCTTTCCGATCCCCGACAGGGATGTCGAATTGAACACTAGATCCTGGTTAAAAAAAGAAGCAAAGGAAGTGGCAGAGTAGCAGCCAGTCGAAGGAAGCAAAGGGCAGACGGCCCAACCGAGGAGAAGCCGTCGTGTCCTCGCCCACGTTAGAAGGAATATAAAGGGAGCCGTGCTAGATTACATGGGGTTATATAATATGCCCTAATAGCCCTAAGGGCTCTTAGGGCTCTAAGTATATAGAGTACAAAGGATACATAGAGTGTATAGGGTACTATAGTTATATATATACTCGCTGTTAA